TGTCGGCGCCTGCGGGGTGGGGGGTGAGGGGGGGGGGGGATGTCCTGGGATACCCCCCCCCCCCAACCCCCCAACACGTTTTTTGGGGGGGTTCACCCCCCCCCCAAGGCTCACCCAGGGCGTTCTGGATCTCGATGGATTTTTCGGGGCTGAGCAGGATCTCCTCGCCGCCGTAGGGGGAGCGGAAGCGGACCCCCTCCTCCGTCACCTCCGACAGCTCCACCAGCGAGACCATCTGGAAGCCCCCGCTGTCCTGGGGGGGGGGGGGGGTGTGGAACGGACAGACACACGGACGGACAGACGGACACGCGTTGGGGGGATCCCCATAATGGGGCTGGGGGACACACACCCCACAACCATGGGGGGGGGGGGGGGGGTGGATCGGGAGCCCTGGGGCTGTGGGGAGGGGGTCTGGGGAGCAGAGGGTCCCTGAGGGGGGTGTGTGTGTCCCTGAGGGTTCCCACCACCCAGGTGGGGGTCTGGGGGTGTTGTGTGTCCGTCCGTCCATCTGTCCATCATCCTCCCTGCCCCCCCCCCCCCCCCCAATTGGGGGTCCTGGGCCCCCCCCTCACCGTCAGCAGGTTGTGCGGCCAGTCCATGAAGCCGTGGAGGCCACCGGCGCGCTGCACCAGCTCCGGGCCCTGCGGCGGGTTTGGGGTCACATCGGGGGGGTCTTGGGGGGGCGGGGGGGTGGGCCCGATCCCTGCCTTGCCCAGGGGCATGGGGACTCCCCGGGGGCGGGGCTAACGCCGGGGGGCGGGGCCACCCCCGTCCTCGCTCCCATAGGCACAGGTGGTGGAAGCGCCACCGGGGCGTGACCACTGCGAGGGGGCGTGGTCATGCGGGGACTGGGGCGTGGCCACCTTAGAGCGGGTTCACATGGGGGCGTGGCCCCTCGCGAAGTTCCCTCCCAGGGGCGTGGCCATAGGGGAACTGGGGGCGTGGCCATCACAGGGCCGGGTAGTGTGGTCTCACATGGGGGCGTGGCCCCTCGCGAAGTTCCCTCCCAGGGGGCGTGGCTATCTCAGAGCCGGGCTGCATGGGCTCTCGGGGGGCGTGGCTGCGGGCGGGCCCGGTCGCGGGGGTCCCTCCCGTTCCCGTTCCCGTTCCATTCCCGGTCCCGGTCCCGTCCCCCCCAGCCGCGGCGGCGCTCACCGGCCGCGTGCCCAGGTGGTAGGTGTTGCCGAGGCAGATGCGGCAGCCGAGCGCGGCGAGCTGGGCCGCCGTGACGCCCTTGGCGGTGCCGCGGGTGCCCACGGGCATGAAGACGGGACAGGGGACGGGGCCGTGCGGCAGCCGCAGCTCGCCGGCCCGCGCCCGGCTCCGCCCGCACTCCGCCGCCACCCGCAGTAACGGCGCAGGGACTGGCCCCGCCGCCCTGGGCGCCGCCATCTTTCCCGCTTCTCCACGTGACCTGCGCTTCCGGCCGCCCCTAGTCCCCGCCGGAAGCGGCCGTCACCAGGGGCAACGCGGCCGCCATGTTGGGGCTTCGGCCTCCGCGCTGGGCCTCGGCGGGGGGGGGCACACGACGGCGGCTTCCTCGGGAGAGCCTTCCCCGCTCCCCCATGCCCTTCGGGGAGAGCCCCCTCCTTTACCCCTCCCCGTGACCCCCGGGAGAGCCCGTTCCCCTGCGCTCCTGCCCCTTGGGAGAGGCCCCTTCCCCAGCTCCCTATGTCCCCCAGGGAGAGCCTCCTCCTTTGTCTCCCTCGTCCTGGGGGGACCCCCCTCCCCTGGTCCCTAAGCCCCGCAGGGAGAGCCCCCTCCCTTGGTCCCTAAGCCCCCCAGGGGAAGCCCCCCCCTCCGCCTCCCTGCCTCAGTTTCCCCTCACACAACAGCTCCGACCATCCCCTCAGGATCCCCCGTGCCAGCTGCACCTGCCACTTCAGCCTCATCGTCAGGACCCTGAAAGCCCTGACCAGGTCTGAGCAGAGAAAACCTCCCCCCTTTACCCGTTAGCACCCCGTTTTTCCCCCTGGGGCAGGTCCTAGGGGGTGTTGAGGCCTGGCAGGGGCAGGAGCAGCAGCTCGGCCCCTCCTGTGCGGGAAGCCCGAGGTGGGGTAATAATCCCAGTTTTGATAGAAATGGCTGTTTCTGTCTTTCCAGACTCGGCAGTAATCAGCTCCCGGCGCGAGGGAGGCGAGCGTGCCAGCTCAGTGCGTGGGAACCCGCCGTCTAGAGGAGGTAACCTCCCCTGGGAAGGGAGAACCGTTCCCAAAACACAGATACGGCGCTCTGCAGGCGAGCTGGGTAGAGAATTTATGGCTGTGCTGCCGGTGGGGGGGGGGGGTGGGGGGTGTCCTCTGCCTTCCCAGTCAAACCATTTGCTGGGATGGGGACCCTTAATGGGAGAGGGGGAACAGGGGAGGGGAAGGGACGAGGGATGTGCCCTGAGCTGGCCTGTAGCCCTCAGCAGCATCCTGTTAGAAATTCCCTAAAACCAAATTAAAACAGCCTTTGGGAATGATCCAGAAAGCCCCGGCTCTGTCTCCCGTGGCGAGGAGGGCTGAGGTGAGGGCTGGGTGTGGAAACAGCCCCCCCCCAAAAATGGGGGGGGCTCAGCTGTGGCACCCCACGGGGCTGCTGTGGGCAGCTCTGCCGTGTCCCGGCCCCTCACCCCGGCAGCCGGTGAGTGATGAACTCATTACAGTGTTAACTGAGCCAGACGAGGGATGGGCTGTGATGGAGCAAATCCCCCCCAGAGCTGGGTTAGCAGAGCCTGGAGGATCCCAGCCTTCCTCCTCTGCTCTTCCCGCCTGAAACGCGGGGTTTTTATCTTGGAAATTGCGCTGGGAAATCTGGTAATAGATTCGCTGAGCGCAGGGAGGGATTTAATTACCCTTTTCCCCCCGCTGAGAGGAAGGGAAGCAGCCGCTAGCCTCTCTGCAGCCCCTCTCCTCCCTCTGCCAAGCCGGTGGCTTGGTGCTGCTGCGGGACGCTGGCCCCCTCCCCTCCTCGCCGCCGTCCCTCTCCCGCGGGGTGACTCGGCCATTTTGGGGCTGAATGGTTGAGTTTGGATTATGGTAATGCTGGCGGGTATGAAAAACCAGGAGCCTTGAGCAGGTTCCCCAGGGTGATGAGGACAGGAATCTCCCTGACCTGCTGCGGTTGTGCTGGGGTGGGGACAGTGAGGACAGACCGCCCCCCCCCCCCATTTTGGGGACTAGCTGTTTCTGGCACTCAGCTCCCCCCCCAGTGTGCGAAGGGGGGGGCTGGGGACCAGCGTTTCCTTGGGGTGCCCTGGTCACAGCTCGGCCTGTGCCCAAAACCAGCCGCGTCTTTTCCCAGCCAGCCCAAACTGGGAGCAGGGACATCTTTGGGAAACACCGTCCCGCCCGGGAGGCGGCTGCAGTTGGGTTTCGGAGCTCGGTCACCTGTGGAGACCCCAAAGAGCGGGGTTGTCGTGTCCCCCCCCCCCCATTCTTGTGACACCAGGACATTCTGGTGGTGCCAGCGAGCCCCGGGGCTGGAGGGGAGGCTCAGCACTGGACTGCGGTGAACGGACCAGTAACGATCCCAGTCTTTTCCTTCCCTTTCACAGTTGGAAGATGGATGCGGCGCATCCCGACCGGACCGAGCCCCCCACCCCGCCGCAGGAGCGACCGGACCGACGGACGGTGGATCGGCTGAGCCCGGAGCTCCGGATGGAGAAATACATCCTGCTGAGCATGGACGGGAAGCTGCTGGGACCGGAGCTGAGCCGGATCCGGAGCGGTAGGGAGCGTTTCCCCTGGGAAAAGCGGGGGGCTGGCCCCCCCGTTCACTCTCCTGGTCCACACTGGGAAGCTTTGCTCGCACCCCGCCTCCATCTGCGGGGTCCCTGTCACCCCTAAACCCAAGCGCTTCTCCCGTGGGGGAGCGACGCCGCCCTGGGGGGGTTTTTTGGGTGCCAAGGCTCCTGAAATGGCGGGGGGGCTGACGGCACCCTTCCCGCCCCTTGCCCTTTCCCCCCCCCCCCCCCCCCAAGAAATGGCACTGCCGCTGGAACGCCTGGACGCTGACCTGCCCCCCGACTTGCCCGCCGGCTACCTCTGCCGCCAGCGCCGCTCCCTGCCCACCTTCCCCCTGCCCCCCGGCCCCCAGACCCCCGCCGAGCTCAGGTAGGTGCCGCCGGTGTTGGGGGGGGGTGGGGGGTGGGGGGCTGCCCGCCAACGGCCTCCCCCACCGCAACCCACTCCCCCCCCCCCCGCCGATCTCTTCCAGGGGCAGCTCGGACCTCCTGTGCGCTGGCCGGTTCCCGGCGGGACTCAGTCAACTGGTCACCGGCATGCGGACCCCGGTCTCGCCGCGACGCCGGGGCACCGGTGACCGGCTGGGGGGGCGCGGGGCGGGGAGGGGGAGCCCCCCGCTCCCCGCCACGGGACGGGTCTCCCCCAGCGGGGCGAAGGTGTGAAATAAAGACCCACCCCCACACACACCCCACCCCAGGGCGAACGCCGTGACCGGGCTGTCGGTGCTGGGGGGGGGGGACGTCCCGGGGTTGGGGGGCGGGGCTGAGCCCCGGGGCTTCGCATCGGTGCTGCGCGGCTACTCGGGGGTCTACGGTCACCGGGCTGTGCCCGGGAGAAGGGGGGGGGGGGAAACGGACCAAAGCAGCCAATCGGCAGGTAGACATGCTTGATTGACAGTGAGCTGGCGAATCGCGGAAAGGTTTTTCTTCCCGGCCAGCTTCCCTCCCGATTTCCCCCACCGCCTGGGTTGGTCAGTCTGTTGGAGTGGCTGGCACACTGTCCAATGAGAGGGTGGGGAGAAGCGGCTGAACGCGTCGGTTTCTTTTCGGCCGCAGTCGCGTCTGCCAATGAAATGACAGGAGCCGTGTCGCCGGGCGGGAGCTGTGGCAGCACCGCCTCAGCTTGACAGGCCAGCTCCACCTCCCGTTGGCTGGTGGGGGTGAGCGGCGCGGTGGGCAGCCAATGGAACGGGAAGGGAGGAGGGGGGCGGCTTGCCGCGCCTGCCCTCCCTGCTGATTGACAGCCCGCCGTTCCTCTCCGCTCGTCTGGTTCCTCTGATCGACGGCCGAGGCGGCTAATGAGGCCTGAGGAAGAGCGGGGCGGGCCCACGGCGGAGCGGCGCCCCGGGGGTGTCGCCAGTGCCGGATGAGGAGACGCGGAGGGGAAGTTTGGTCGCCGCCGCCGCGGGCCCTGTGAGGAGCAGCCGCCGCCGGGAGAGCGGGAGCGTGGTGTGTCCCCGTCCCCCTCCCCCCCCCCCCCCCGCCGCCGCCGCCGCCATGGGGAACCGGGGCATGGAGGAGCTGATCCCGCTGGTCAACAAGCTGCAGGACGCGTTCAGCTCCATCGGGCAGAGCTGCCACCTCGACCTGCCGCAGATTGCCGTGGTGGGCGGGCAGAGCGCGGGCAAGAGCTCGGTGCTCGAGAACTTCGTGGGCCGGTGAGTCGGTGGCGGGGCGGGGACGGGGACGGCGCCGCCGCCGCCGCTGGCGTAAGCGCGCTTCGTGAATCCCGCCCGCGTAGGGCGCGGCCGCGGCCTGAGGGACCCCCCGCCGCCGCTACGCAAACTGCGGAGCGCCCCGGCCTCCCGCTCCCCATCGCCCGGCCGCGCCTTACGCGCTTGGCGTAAAGCGCGGCCCCCAGGGGGGAGCGGGTCACCGGCCGCCCCTTACGCCAGCGGCGCAGGCGGGGGCTCGGGACGCGGGTTGCGCTCACGGCGCTGGCGTAGGGGGGTTCCGTGAATACGAGAAGCGGGGATCCCGCTGCGGGGGGCAAGGGGATGCGCCCCGGTGCAGGTGGCTGCCCCCCGGTGCAGGTGGCTGCCCCCCGGTGCAGGTGGCTGCCCCGTCCCCCCGAGCAGCCGGCGGTGCCGCGGCCGTGGAGGAGGATGTTGCCGGGCAGGTGAGCCTCCCGCGGGCCTCCGGATTCTCCCGGGAGCGGCGGATGGCGAGCCACCGGGATGCTACGCCAGCGCGGCGGCGAAGCGGGAGCTTGGCCCTTTCACCCCTCTGGCTCGCCGTCCTCGGCGCAGGCGCGGAGGCTGAGGTCGGCTTCGGCTGCAAAGGCGTTTCTGTTGCCAGGATGATAGCGCCGGGCCCGCAGCCCTTCCTGTGCCTGGGCTTCGGCGACCCGCTCGTTTCGGGGATGTGCGCCCTCGAGATAGGGCCGAGTGCTTGGCCAGAGGCGTCGGGGTCTTGCTGCCGGGCCGGTTGGCACGGGATAAGGCAAAGCCACGGGCTTGACACCCAACCCAAGGCACCGAGGGTGGGGAGGAGGACACAGTAACAGCGGGGGAGCGGAGCTGATTTCACCCCACACTACCCCTGCGAGGTTTAAAAATCCTGCCGGCCCCTTTTCGAAATCCACCGTAATGGCTAATAACATCAGCTTCGGCACCAAAGCGCCGCGAGCGGAGTCGCTTTCTCCACCTTTTGTCTCTTCCCCCGCTGCCTTTACGGGGACGGCGGCGCCGGCCGGGCGGTTGCTGGCTCGGCTCTGGGCTGCTCTGCGTTTCCTCGGGCGCTTGCTCCGCGCGCGGTGGGGAAGGAGCTGTGGTCCTCGCCGGGCTCCCGCTGCTTTGTTCCCGTCCTCGCCCGCCCCTTGATCTCGGGCTGCTTCTTTCTCCGTCTACATCCCACGACGGGGTTCCCGTCCCGGCTGGGGCGGATGCTGTAATATTAACAATAGCAGCCCTTCCTGTGACGTCATTCCATCCTGACACGGGCCGGCGCGGAGCTTGTCACCGACAAAACAGCGGCGGCTCAGCCCGGCTCTTCACGGCGCCTACGTGAACCTTAACATTCCCCAAAAAAGCCAACCAGGTGGTTTTTCCGACGTTTCAGGCTGGTTTTGGTGTCGGGGTTGCTGCAGAGACGCGCCGGCAATTCCCTTTGCAGCAAAAACATCATTTGAAAGCGCCGCCGGAGTTTTCCCTGCCGCCGTGCTTTCTGCTGTTGGATTTTGGGTTTTGTTTTGCTTGTGTAATGTTTTTTCCAAGCGGCGAGGCCGAGACCCGGAGCCCGCTGTGTGATCCATCACCTGATGCCATTTGCCTTTTCTTTTATCCAACCGCAGGTCGGATTCGTAGCGTGGATTTGCAGCCGGGGATGCTTTTTCAGCCCGGTGCTGTTGGCGTGGGAGGGAGAGGAGGAGTCGGCCGGCCCGGTGGAGCTTGAACCTCCCCCCCCAACTAAACTCACATCTGGGCTTTGCTAAGCCTTCGCTGCCGTTGGGGTTGAAATGGTCGAGTTATTCCCCTTCCTAAATCGCTGCCGGTGGAAATTTTAGCAGCCTCTCACTATGGTGCTGCTGGAAAACGGGTCCTGGTAATTAAAAATCCTCGTTTCGGAGCGTTGAAGTCTCCATCAGAAGGTTTTTAATGAGGGGTTCAGGCGCCCCGCAGACGGCCGGGCTCTGCACGGGAGCGCTTTCTGCGAGGCTGGATCTGCCCGGTTCTAACCGGGGACCTTTCGCTCTCATCCCGTGGCACTAACTTCGTCCTGCAGCTCATGTTAATAACCGCTAATTACGCGTGGGGCGGACTCTGCCCTGCCTTGGTGTCAGCAGTCTCCGGCCGTCGGCTCGGTGGCTGCTGTCGATCAGATGCTTTGGCATCTCCCGCTCTTTGTAGTGTTGCTTTCCCTACACGCCTATTTGGGAATACGATAATGAGGAATACAGAATTATCCTGTAACGATTAATTAGGGATTCATAACCCCGGAATGGCTCACTCGTTACCAAGACTGCCTGCTTACCTTGACGCCGTTGGGATGCCCGGCCTGGCGCTCGCGGCTGGGTGAATCCCGTCGGGTTTGATCCCGTGCCGGCGGCATCGAGCGTTTCTCCGGGATGGATAGCGGGATGCCGACGGGCTGGGGACGAGCGCCGAGGCCTCTGGGCTGTTCCAGCAATAAACCAGCCGCGCCGCCCGAAGCTCGCCCTAGCTTCCCAGCCGAATACATCGAGCTTTCGCTCTTCGAGCGTGCGAGCCGCTTTTTAGCCCCAACAGCTTTTCTGCCTGAAGCCAAGGAGCCGCTTCCGAGCGTGCAAATGCACGTCTGTGTAAGTGCACGTGCACGGGCAGACGTGCCACTGCCGTGGGGAAGGGCGCTGGGCTTAAAAACCGAGGTGATCTCCGGCCGAGGAGCCAGGCGATGCTCTCGGAGGTGTGGCTGGGGGTTTTAGTCAGCAGAACGGGGAAAAGTTCCCAGGGAGAGCGGTTTTCCTTACGGGAGCTGTCTGTGAGGTGGGGCTGCCCGGTGGGATGGCGGTGGCTGGAGAGCCCTCGGTGAAGCGTTCGGCCTCTGCTTTATTTGAGATGGAGACGATTAAACAACACGGGGCAGGGAAACAGGACGGCGCTTCGGAGCTCGCTCTGATTTCCCCTCGCGACGGGTCTCGCTGTTCCCGCGCGCTGACGAAGGCTTCCCGAAGGGATGCGGGAGACCTTCCGCGCCAGCTAGCCACGTTTCCTTCTGGAAACAGCCGGTTAGAAACTGGGGGGTGTGGTGTGTGTATTTTTGCTCATCTCCCCGCCTTCGCGCAGCTGTTTGACCTTTCCTCTTGGCTTTTCGGACCCGTTCAGAAGGCGCAGGGCTGCCTGGATGCCTCGGTAGGAAGCTTCACTTCAACCCTGGCGTCCCGTCTCCCGTAACGAGCCGCGCCGGGTCCTTCGGTGCCGCGTGCCGGTCCCCTGCGTGCCGCCGAGGTGGAGGCGGGTGGGATGCGGACGGGGCAGTTTCGGCTCGTCCCCCCCGCCTTATCTTGTTATCCCTGTTTTGAGGAGCTGCAAGGAAAGACATCGTTCTCTCTTCAGAATAAGCAATTTTGGTCGATTGCGTTAGGGGTGAAGGCGAACAAGCGGTGACGCTCGGGTAAGGAGTCCGCGGGAGGTCTGGAGCTGCGCTCTGCGGATTGCCCCACTTCAGTGTTTTGTTTTGTTTTTTTTTTTTTTTTTAATTGTTTGAAGAAGCCTAAAGATGCCCATTAACGCAGCGTGGGCCAGGGGGGAGGGCAGCCACACGTTACGGTCACCCCTTCCATGGCCTTAAAATACAAGAGAAAGGATGATGAGCTCCGCTGAGACGAGCTGAGATGCCGTCGACCGTGCAAAAAGCCGCCGGAGGAACCAGGAGATGGGCTCAGCTGCCCGGAGCCCTCTAAATCAATCCAGGGATCAGATGCTGGACTTCAGGTTATCGGTGGGGCAGGAATCTGTCTCGCTGCCGCAGCCGTTTCAGCCGGCGCTGAAGTAGGTTGGCCTTGCTGTGCGAGGGGGTCTGCAGTGACTCGATTCCCTCATTTAGCGGGGAAAAGCACAAAGGGGAGTTGAAAATACTGCATTAAAAATTACATTAGTAGCTGTATTAAAAGCCGCCCCATTGACGTCCCGATGAAACGTGCATTGACCGGTCCCTCTGTGGAGCCCTTGTCCTGTCAGTACAAGCGCGCTAAAGGCGCCGAGCCTCCCCCGGCCCTGCTCCGGCTCTCGCCGCGACGCTCCGACAAACGACGGCGTAAAAGGCATTTTCAGAGCCGTATAAAACCCGGCCATTGAGCGCGGCGGCCGCCCGGACCGGGCTGACAATGGAGCCGTTGTGATGGGGGGCGGTGGGGAGGCCCTCCCAGCGGCAGCGTAGTCGAGGAACCGACCCTCAATGGGGTATTATGAGTCCTTTGGATGGCGTTATCGGTGCTCCCGGCAGCCGTAAATAAAAGCGGGGCTAAGCTGGGACGGCCGCGGCGGCGGGGCTTTGGGGGGTGGAGGTGGCCAAGGCGCGGCGTGAGATCCTTTACCTGCGGCGGGCACATCCCTTCTCCCGGTGGGACGCTGAAATAGGCACCGTAAAGCGCGTCGGGGACCCCAAAGTGCAGATAAAACTCATCATTTGCACCAAGCATCAACAGCGCGGGGCCCCGCGGTGGCTCGCTGAGATTTTTAAGCCGGTGCTAATACCACGCCTAAGCCTCTTTGAGGGAGAATTTATCCAGAGGGGAGGATGGAGATGAGAGCGACCTGTTCTTAGGGCTTTTTCCACAATGATTCCCCAGGTCTGGTGTAGCTGGGGTGCCTGCGCGGAGTCGGCCGGGCCGAGTCGGGCTGGCGGCGCTGCGGGTGTAAATCACGGCTGTGGCTCAGTCGTTTGGGGAGGATTTAATGGCAGCGATCGTCAGAGGGACGGCAATTTAATTTCAGGAACGGGAGGGGGAAACTCGGTTTGTCAGCGGGCAGAGCTGGCTGAAAACGGAGCGAAAGGAAGGGAATTTGGGAGCGAGTGAGGCGCTCGTGAGTGAAAACACGTCTCGGAGGGACCTCGGGGACGCGACGCAACCGCCTGGTGGGTCTCTTCCCCGGGGAGTTTGGGGTGTTTTTTCCATGGATTTGGGGGAAGAGCTGCCATGGGGCCGCTGGCGAAGAATCTCAAGATAAATGGGAGCCTGAAACTGGAGAGGGACTGGGCAGGGCCAGGCAGCGCTCGCCTCTCAGGTGCCCTTTGCCACAGGAGATTTTCCAGGGGATGGGATGTATTAAATGTACTTCCCCCAGCAGCGACCTTTGTCTTTTTGCTCTCCTTGTAAAGCAGCGTTTCCTGGTAGCACACGCGAAGCGGAGATAGAGGGATTACAATGAACAACCAGGCGAATGGGAAAATCCGGGTGTAACGTTGTCGTTTCAAACACAGGTTTGACCTTACTCCTCGGATGTTACGTCTCTGGGGTGCGTCAGCCCAACGGAGGTCTTGCTTCACTCCGGCTGCCCCACATCTCTGACTCACTTTAACGTGTAAAAAAACACCGAAGAGGACCTGCTGGCAGGCTCCGGTTTCCTCCCCCCCCCCCCCCCCCCCGCCTCTCCGTGTTTGCAGTGGGTGTTTGCTCGTGAAGGAGATTGTTCCTGGCAACCCCGGGGCCGCAAAGTAGGTGCGTGCGAATGAAATTTGAAGGCGGTGACGCCCCTCGGTTGTAAAAACGCCCACGGGGGGTGCCAGGCGGGGTGACCCGGCTCCGTGGCCGCGCAGGAGCTGGCCCACGTCTGCTGCCAGGCGGGACCCACGCCGTCCTCCCCGATGAAGAGGGCGCTTGTTCGGCGTCCCGTCAAAAGGGCAGGTTGCTCGTGCCTGACTATTAGCACCCCTCGGGGGGGCTGGGAGCTGGGGGGGGTGTGTGTGTGATTAACCCCCCCTCCCCAAGATCGTTAACACGGCAGGTCGAGGGCAATGCTGGGGGAGAAGGGAGCAGCGGAGCCTGCCAGGAGTGTTTGATCCCCTCCGGATCACGGGAGATTCCGTGGTGTGTCCCCCCCCAAGGGTCGGTGCTCTCCCCTCCCCGGGGAAGGCGGTGGTGGGGCTGTGGGGAGGGTTTCTGCCTCTCACAGGGTTTATTTCAACAGGAGGAAGCTACCGCCGCTTTCCAAATAGCGTAACAGAGCCCTGTCATAGCGAAACTGCAGCGCCGGGTAGCGAGCGGTGCCGGAACAGATCCCGGTGTCCCTGCTGCCGTCAAGCAGGCGCCCTCAAACACTTCCTCTTCCCGCCGCATCCCGGCTCCCGTGGCTGCAGGACCTGTCCTCCCGGTTGGGCAGGAAGCTCTTTTTTTTTTTTTCCGAGGGTGATAAAAAACACGAGGGTGATTAAAAAAACCACGTTTCTGTTTAGAGAAGCCTCCTGCGCGGGGCTCGCGGTTTGCTTGGCAGTCTCCTGGGGGGGGGGGGGGGGGGGGAAGGCGACGCTCCCGGCTGTCGCGGCTGCAATTCACGCCCGCAGCTCCGCCGTGGGCAGGGGGCTGGGGGTGCTGACGAGCGGGGTTGGGTACAGCCGAGGTGGTGGTGGTGGGGGGTGTGTGGGGGTGGGCGTGAATTCCCACTGGACCCCAGGGCGCCTTCGGGTGCGGGTGACAGCGACAGGCACCGCCTGATCTCAGTTTCCCCGTGCTCGGCTGATAAGCTGGATGTGCCCTCTCCTTTAATGGAAGCGATAAATCCACTCAGCGCTGCCCTGGCCTCTCCCAGGAGCTCTTATCGCTCCCTTTTCCAAACTCACCTTCCTGTCCAATTCCCGTCGCCCTCGGCCCGGGAGGAGGGAGCTGCAGCCCTTCGCTGGGCGCTAACGGCTCCGAGCAAACCTCCCCCCCCCCCCCCCCCGACGCCCCACGGGCTCGAGCTGACGCCCCGAGCAGGGGGGCAGGAGAATCGTCGTCGGTTCCGCGCCTCGTTTCGCTCTTCGCAGGGGAAACGGGGTGAAACCGTAAAGGATGTGCGGTTTCGGAGAATAACGAGAAGGCGGTGGTTTTGTCTCTTCTGCTGAGGTGTCTTTTTTTTTTTTTTTCCCCCCCCTCTCTGAATTAGCGGGGGTGTTAAAATCCAGTAGACCCTTAAATTTCTTAATGGCTAGCAGCTGGGAAAGCTGCTTTCCGAATTCCTGTGCCCGCAGCGTGCAGCGCAGCCGCTCGGAAGCGGTTGTAAGGGTGTGGGGGCCGCCCTCCTCCAGTGGGGGGGTGGGGGGGGGAGTGGGAGAATGGCCCATTTCACGGGTGGCTGTGATCCCAGGAGCATCGTTTACGCTCCGCCACCTCCCAGGGCAGAGCAGGGAGCTGATGCTGGGGAGGACCAGGCGTGTTCGAGCCCCCGCACGCCATGCCCCGCTGCCTGCTGTTTAGACACCGGCGTGATCAGCTCGGTGGTGCAGCATTAACTTCCTCATTTAAACCACGTTAATAAATGTCTGTCTTTCAATTCCTTGCAGGGACTTCCTTCCCCGGGGCTCTGGAATTGTCACTCGGCGGCCTCTCATCCTGCAGCTCATCTTCTCCAAGACAGGTACGCTCTGGGCAGGAAAATCTGCCCAGTTCCCCCGTCAGAAGAGGGAGAGGGGCTGGTGGAAACCCTTGGCCGGCCACCGCGGCTCCGTCCGCCGGGAAGCGCTGCCGCCCTCGCAGATTCGTCCTTTAACGGGCGCGTGAATATTTCGGTGACGGATCCGGTTTGTTCGAGCGTTCCTCGCAGAGGGTTTTGACTGCTGGGGAGCACGCCTGTCTCCTGGGGGTGAAACCCGCCCTGGAGGTGGCAGATGATGGAGGAGGTGTCTGTATTTCGGCCCCGATGCCGGCGTTTGGCCGTGCATCTGGTCGAGAGCGCGCATCAGCGGTGAGGGGGGGTCGTGTTCAGGCTCCTTTTGAGCGCACGCTGCCCTTGACACGGGAAGTCTGTTCCGCTGGAGTTTTTCTGTAGAAGGTTGCGATGATCTTTCTCTTCCCCAGAATATGTTAAATGCCTGGTCAGCCTGCAGGACGGTTAAAAAATAGTGAGTCAGCCCTCTTCAGCGGCATTGTGCTCCCGGGGGGGGGGAGGGTACGTGGGAGGCTGCGGGGGAGAGGGGAGCAGAGCCCGGGCTGAAGCGGTGACACGTTTACATCCATTTTGGACCGTCCTTCTGCTCCCCTCCAGCACAAAAATTCCTGTTTCCCTTCAGCCGGTGGTTATCCTGCTGATAAGGGGGACTCAGCAGGCAAGCATTTAAAACGCTGGCGGTCACCAATAAAAGCGCGCTTGGCTGCTTCCCCGTCGCCCTGTGACTCAGTTCCGCTTCGCACCCCGGCACGCAGGGGGGGTTGTGAAATCGGCCTCTGCCCCCCACGCGCGGCCGGCTGCCCCGAGGAGCCGAGCGCGGGGCGGAGGGCGGCTCGTTTTCCCGCCCAGGCGCGCTGTGAGAGCGTCGGCCGGCCCCATCTCCGGGGAGCTTGCTCCTGTTGATCTCCCCTGACTGAAACACACGACCCTCTCCCCAAAAAAACCCCCCACGATTTGGGGGCAATCCTGGTGGAGCTGGGGGTGGCCTGGGAAGCTGCGTTCTGCAGCCTCATTTCGCATTTATTCAGGTGACCTGTTTATCAGCTAATTAGTTGTTTCTGGTAAAGGGGGATTGCGAAATGTCGGCGGTGGCCTTCGGGTGATCAGGTGTCATCAGGCGCTGGACCGGGCAGGGGCAGAAGGGCCGGGGTAGGGCTGGCATTTCCCCTCACCGCACCCGCGGGTGGGAGGAAGCGACTTGCTCCGTCCCCCTCCCCAGGGCAAGCCGCGGCCCCGAATCTATTAAAATCCCTTTTCACGGGGCAGCTTCGGAGCTGTTGCAAGGAGCCGAGGAGATGTTTTTTCTGGTGACTGTAGGGAAAGACCAGCTCTCTTTCCCCCTCTCAGCTTCCCCACTCCCCTCGAAGCTTCCCCCCGCCCTAACAGCTTGCAAAACCCTTTCAGAAAATCTCAGGGACCTGAAGGCAACTGCTCAGAGGCCCAGGAAAAGCCGCTCCTTTTCTGTTCCCAGGCGTCCTCCCCGCGGAGGAGCCGCGGCTGGGTTAATGTTTGTCTCCTGGCGCCGTTTCCTCGGGCTCGGAGCGGAGAAACAGAGCCAGGCCCTTCGCTGGAGTGCAGCTCGGCTGGGGGGCTGCGGGGGCAGAGTGAAACGGAGCGATAAATCCGGAGAGCGAATAAAAAGTAGATAAAGTGGAGCTCCCGGCGCAGGTGGAGGGGAAACGGCGGTTCCTTCTTGGCAAGGGGCTGCCGGCGCCGGGCAGCGCCGATGGTCCCTCTTTGCTGGATGGTGCAAAGATGATTCCCCGGGGGGTCGAGCGCCGGCGTGCCTCCCCGCAGCCGGCTGCGGCCCTTTTCCCAGCACGAGGGTGCTGCCGGGGGGTGGTGGTGGAGGGGGGGGGGCTCGCTGCCCGGCCTCCCGGCGCACCGGAGTGTCTTGGCAGCTTCCTTCGGCGTTCGGGATCCGGGCAATAAAACATTTAAAAGCAATCAGCGGGGGGGCTGAAAGGCAGACAGGCCCGGGTGAAAACAAACACGGCCGTTCTGATGGCGAGGTTCGCTCGCGGGAGCCAGCGTCGGCCGCCTGCCAGCATCTCACCCAAGGGCAGTTTCTTTTTTGGCAAAGGGAAGCGTAACTCCGCGTCCACATCAAAGCAGCTGCTGCCAGCGCGGAGGCAGCAGGCAGAGTGTCAGCGCGCTCAGCCTGAGCCGGCTGGCTGCCATCCTCCCGGGCTTGCCTCCTCAGCCAGAGGAAGCGGCTAGGCCAAGTTTATTTGGGGCTGCTGCCAGTCAGGAGGCTGCAGATAACCAGGTTAATCCCCGGGCAGGTCCTCGGGGCCTCTCCGGGGCATCGATTCTGCCGGGCTGCTCGGTGCCGCGCCGGAGCGCGTGGCCGGGGCTGCTCTGCAATGTAGTAATGTCTCTAAACCAGGTGTGCATCCTGTGCTGGGCTCGAAATTGTCTTTCTTTTTAATTTTTTTTTTTTTTTTTCTTTTTTTTTTCCCCCCTCCCCAGAATATGCCGAATTTTTGCACTGCAAATCCAAAAAGTTCACAGATTTTGACGAGGTGCGGCAGGAGATCGAAGCGGAAACCGACAGGGTGACGGGAACGAACAAAGGCATCTCTCCCGTCCCCATCAACCTCCGCGTCTACTCGCCGCACGGTCAGTGAGCTGTGTCTCTGCCCCGGGACTCCGTGCGTTAAAACAACGTGAAGGAAGGAAAGCCGGTGTTTGTACACACTGGGGCTGCGGGGTTTAGCCCAGCCTGTGTCCGAAAAGCAAATTCTGGCTGCTCCGTGGGTCTGGCCGGTCTGACAGCGGCCTGGGGGGGCGATGGGGGGCTGCCTGGGCCACCCCCCCCCCCCCCCCGAGCAAATCCAGCCGTCGCTCTTCCTTCGGAGGAGCTTTGAAGGCTTGCGGAGGGGTAGATCCATCAGCAGGTCTGCAGAGATCCGGCTGCCAGGCCCTTGACCCCGAGCGCCCGTGGTCTCTGTCCTTCCAGTGTTGAACCTGACTCTGATCGACCTCCCGGGTATCACCAAAGTGCCGGTGGGGGACCAACCGCAGGACATCGAGTACCAGATCAAAGACATGATCCTGCAGTTCATCAGCAGGGAGAGCAGCTTGATCCTCGCCGTCACGCCGGCCAACATGGATCTGGCCAACTCGGATGCGCTCAAGATGGCAAAAGAAGTCGATCCTCAAGGTAAGACGGAGGCGTCCTCCTGTCTGTCTGTCCGTGCCGCTGCTCCGGGCCCGGCGGGGGGCTGGTCGAGCCTCCGGCGGCTGTTGTGGCAGAGTCTCAGCAATCAGTTGCCCGATTTTGGTACCAGAGGGGCTTCTCATCCCTCCCCCTCTCAGAGAGGACTCTCCGTCCTCTGACAGCCGAGGAGGGGCCGGCTCTGCTCCTCGCTGGCGAGGCCGTGTTTGTCCTGGTTACGCACCCCCGTGCCTCCTTTCGAGGCGTTCCGTGCCGCGCGGCCCATCGCTGGCTCGTTCCTGCGGTTAATCGGTCGCTCGTTTGTGCGGCCGCTTTCAGGCTTGCGGACGATCGGCGTCATCACCAAGCTGGATCTGATGGATGAAGGCACAGATGCCAGAGATGTGCTGGAGAACAAGCTGCTTCCTCTGCGAAGAGGTATAACGACCCACAGAGGCTTTGCCTCGCCCCGTATCCCCCTTCCCACGGCCTCCATCTCTCGTCTGGCGAGAGTGCTGTTCCAAAACGAGCCCAAGGGCAGCTCCTGCGGAGCCCGGACCCTTCGTGCCGCCCTTTCCTCCGGGAGAAGCAGCTGCGGGTGGCCACCCGGAGCCACGCAGCCCTGCTGGGACACCTTGAGCCGGGCCTGTGCGTAGCAAGAGCCAACGTGTCCTCTCGCAGGCTACATCGGCGTCGTTAACCGAAGCCAGAAGGACATCGACGGTAAGAAGGACATCAGGGCAGCGCTGGCGGCCGAGCGGAAGTTCTTCCTCTCTCACCCGGCTTACCGGCACATGGCCGACCGGATGGGCACCCCGCATTTGCAGAAGGTCCTCAACCAGGTAGGCTCAGCTCCCTCCGGGGTGTTTTGCGGGGCTGGTGTTCTTCTCTGGCGGGAAAGGGCTGTGTGCCGGCAGCCGGTTGGCTTCGGGGAGGACGGCGTCTTACCCCTCGCAATTCTTTTCCAGCAACTGACCAACCACATTCGGGAGACGCTGCCTTCGCTGCGCAGCAAACTCCAGAGCCAGCTGCTCTCCCTGGAGAAGGAGGTTGAGGAGTACAAGAACTTCCGCCCCGATGACCCCACGCGAAAAACCAAAGCTTTGTTACAGTAGGTCACGGCCGGAACAGCCCTGCCGTTGGGAGCGAGCGGTGCTGTATTCCTGCCGGCTCCGGTGCTGAGCGGGCGCCCCGGAGAGATCCTGCGTCCTCTGGGGCTCTTGGCAGGCTGCGGGGAAAATCCCCTCCCCGGCTGAGCAGCTCCGCGGGCGAGAATTAATGCCTTGTGCTTGCTGCGCTCTGCGTACGCGACCGGCCTGTCCTAAAGCAGCGCTTTGGTCTGGGGATTAGAAAGGACGGCTCGCGTCCGTCCTTCCCCCGCCCTCGCGCTCTTTAAACTACAGCAAAAGGGAGATTTTCGCCTCTGCGACTCCAGCAAAAGGACTCGGGAGAGTTTTCCCACAGGCCTGACTAGCCGCCGGGGCGGTGCTGGCTGTTGGGAGTCTGTCTGTCTGGGTGTCCGTCCGTCCGTCGCGCTCAGCCGACGCCTGTTCTAATCCCGTTGCCGCTCCGCAGGATGGTCCAGCAGTTCGGTGTGGACTTTGAGAAGCGAATCGAAGGTTCGGGAGACCAGGTGGACACGCTCGAGCTCTCCGGGGGTGCCAGAATCAACCGCATTTTCCACGAGAGATTTCCTTTTGAGCTAGTGAAGGTAAGGCTGGCCCGGGGAGCGCGTGGGCGGCGTAGGGAGTGTAGCGAGATCCCAAAATTCGAAATCAATAATCCCGAGAGAGCGTGAAGTAGCTTGGCCGGGGTAGAGCTGCCTCCCCCGCCGAAGCGCCTGGTGGGCTGGGGACGACGCGTGCTGCAGGCACGCCCTGCCTCCGGCGACGGCGCAAGAGAAGGGCCGCAGCGGGAGCTTTACAGCCGCTTGCTGTCAAAATCGTAACCGGGGCTTTCCCCCCCCCCCCCCCCCCCCCCCCCCCCCGCCATTCAGATGGAGTTTGACGAGAAGGATTTGAGGCGAGAAATAAGCTACGCGATTAAAAACATCCACGGCGTGAGGCAAGTATCGGAGCGGCGCGGGCGCTGCGCGCCTTAGGGTGGATGGGTGAGCCGGCTCCGCGGGGCGCCTGCGGCCGGAGCTTCCCTGGGGGGGAGCGGCGATTACCTGTGGGTGTCTCGTGGAGACCAGCGTTCTCTGAAAACGGACGGCCCTTGATTTTCAGAGAGCGTTCGAGGGGTAACTCGGCCGAGCCGGGCTCGCCCCGGGGGAGGCTGCAACGCAAAACCCTGAGCTGAAACCGCCCCCCCCCCCCCCGCCTCGTGCCTTCAGTTCAGCCACTAAAATAACCTTTATCTTTCCTCTTGCATTCCTGTAAGCGGGGGAAGGAATGACCTTGGGAGTAAAGGCAGGGAACGTGAGTTAAACCCTCTCGCTGAAGGAGGGCTCCGGGGCCTGGCCTCGTCGGGGAGCGCCGTGTCTGCTCGGCACAGACCAGACCGGGGCGGGGATCCCGGACCCCAAAACGGAGCGGCGTTCCGTGCCAGTCCTCTCCCTTGGCCCGGTGCTGTGACAGGAGAAGAGAAACGTAGAGTTCCTTCTCTTCGCTTTAACGCTCTCCCCAGGAGGCGCTTGACCTGCTCCTGGTTTTATCCGTTTTCCCTAAACACCGCCAAAAAAATCCCATTTCCTCGCAGTGCCGATGCACCTGGGCTCTCGTGGGAAGTAGCACCCGAATTCGGGGTGCTGGAGGGGTTGGAGGGTGCTGCCGTGAGGTTGGGGAAGGGGGGGGGGGGGCAGATGTCCCAGCACCCCATCCCCTCTGAGGGGTTGTGGCAGCCCCCGACGGCGAGGGGAAAAGCGGGGTTCAGCGATGCCGTGGCTCCAGGACCCCGGGGATGCCCCAGCTCACGGCGCTGGGGAGGGAATTGCTCTCCAGGACGTGGCCGGTCGCCTCCAAACCTGATCACCCATTTTGTTTTTTTCCTCTGCCATGTCTCTGCCCTCTCGCCCCGCCCGCGGATTCCTGTAGGACGGGGCTCTTCACCCCAGATTTGGCATTCGAGGCCATTGTGAAAAAGCAGGTGGTGAAGCTGAAAGAGCCTTGTCTGAAGTGTGTCGACCTCGTTATTCAGGAGTTAATCAATACAGTTAGACAGTGTACCAGTAAGGTATTGAACCGGCTGGACGCCGTCCAGCCCCTTCCTACCAGTGGGATGGGGAAGCAGGAGTGATGCTCTAACCTGCCTGCCCTGCCTGGTTTCCCCTCCAAAAAAAAAAAAGAAAAAAAAAAGAGGAAGGAAAAATAATAAAATCCGGGAGCCCCCTAAGCAAATTGGATATTTCTGAGCTTTGATTCCTGTCTCGTCACCTGGAGTCCTCCCTGTTGCCTTCGGCTGAGGGGATCGGCCAAGGACGGATCACCCGGGACGTCGCTGGCGAGCTCCCCGGGCACCCCGACGGAGCTGCTCGGGATTTCTGGGGACGCTCGACAGGAGACGTGGCCTCCCGGGACCGTCCCCCTCCCAGGGACGGCAGCGAGGGGCTCTCCGGGGCAGGTTAGCGGGGGGGGGGCTGCCGAGGCTTTGATCCCGGCAGGAGCCAGGCAGGCGGGCAGGCTGCTCTTGGATCCCGGTACCTCTCGTAGCACGTGGTTTTTTTTTTTTTTTTTCTCAAGCCGCAATTTTAAACTGCTGCTTCGCTGCACTCTGGGAATCCCGGGAACGGGGAGAGAGAGACAAAAGCCGGGGACGGCACTTCTGGCAAAACGGTCTGGTGGGCGTGCCTGCAAATCCCGCAGCTCCTGCCTGCAAATCCCGCGGCGCACGGTGTCTGCAATTAATAAGCTGCTTGATAACAAGCACATTTCCATTTCAAAAAGGTCGTTCCCTCCCTATCGCACCCCCCCTCTCCCCCCCCCCCATATTGTCTTTTTTTTCGGTGGAGGTGTTAATTACCCTGAAGCTGGATAAATGGGCCATTTCCATATTTAATAACCGGCTTCTCGGAGCGACTCTTTGTTTTTTAACCTCGTTCTGGCAGCGCCAGAAGATACGCCTTAAACCGAAAAGGGGGCAGGAAAACCAGCTCCTCTCTCCTTCCAATCCTTCGGTTACTTAACAAAAAAAAAAAAAAATCAATAAATTCAGCTGCACCCAGCTGAGAACATGGAATTATCCGCGATGTTCGCTGCCCAGAGTGCTTTTGCAGAGCAGAACAGTTTAAACGCTGCCCTGGTTTTGTAAGCGGTAGGACCGGTGGGGGTTTGCTGGTGGGTCAGGGTTTCTCCGCTCTCTCTCGTTTCCAGCGTGGTTGGCTGCGCTCTGGGTGCTGTGGAGAAGCCAGCGCTTCCCGCCGAAATTCCTTCCGTCTCAAACAAGGGAGGCTCTCCCCTCAAAAGCCGAGTGGAAATTCAGTTTTTTTTTTTCCTAGCGTTGGGGCTGGTGTAATTCCAGTCTTGGGAGAAGCCAGGAGCCTCTCCGGGTTTTTTTCCTGCGCTCCGGCAGCGCTGCCCTCCTGCGGTTTACCCCCCCCCCCCCTCCCGGATCGGTAAAACAGCCCCCGGAGCCGCGGGGAATTTGGGGTCCGGGGCTGAGCCTGCCCGTGCTGCCTGCGAGACGGGGGGCAGCCGAGAGGGGCCCGATCACCCCGACAGCTCCCAGGGACCCGAAGGAATTTCTCAGGCAGGCACTGCAGCTTTTCCCTTTGCACGTTACTAACCTTAATTTTTTTTATAAAAAAATCTCATTTTTTTTCTTTTCTTTTCTGTCTTTGTTGCTATTTTTCCCGCCCCCTGCACTCCACTTGGTGTTTCGCTCTCGCTCTCTGCATGGTGCAGGACGGGGCTCTTCACGCCCGACATGGCCTTTGAAGCCATAGTGAAAAAACAGATTGTAAAGCTTAAAGAGCCCAGTTTGAAGTGTGTTGATCTGGTGGTCTCAGAGCTGGCCACGGTCATTAAAAAGTGTGCCGAAAAGGTAACGGGTCTTAATTCATCTCCCTTATTGTCTAATCCGAACACCTGGAATATGTTTGCTCCCAGGACCCAGCCAACCAAAGTGAGCTCGACCACGAGGTTGTCCCTAATTTCTGGGGGGGGGACGGGGACGCCGTGTCCTCCCTCCCGGCACCTGAATTGTCAGGAAGCGCCGGCAAACGCAGACGTAGCCTTGACTCGGCTTCGCGGCACGGGTCCTGCCGCCACATATTGCCCAGGTGTTTGCTCGCCCTCCCCCCCCACCCCGTAACAGCAAAAGCTAAAAAAACGCTCCTCGCGTTGCTGAGATCCCACCTCCTTTGCCTGGCTTAGCCGTAGCTCGCGCTTCGTGCCGTGAAAACCCGGATCCGCTTGGCCGGGGGCTCCGAGGGTGGGAAGTTAAAAATAAGTTAAAATCTGGACTTGTGCGTTTGGCACTGCTTCGAAGGCCACCCCCCCCCACCCCGCCCTGCCCCGGGAGGGGGGGGGGGATTCCGCTGATCTTGTCGGATCTAGTGAAGAGAATCGAGTCTGTCGCTTTTTTTTTCCCACCCTTGAGCCCCGGTTGTGTCCTCGCGGCAGAACTGGGGCTCAGCCCCGTCCCCGGCTCCGTCCCCTTCGTGAGCGGCTCCTGGCGCTGGCTTTCTGCACCGGAGGCTGCCACGGTCCCCTCAGCAGCGGTTTTTTCCCCGGCCTTCTCCCTTTCTTTTCAGCTTGGTTCCTACCCCAGGTTACGAGAGGAGACGGAGAGGATCGTCACCACTCACATCAGGGAACGGGAAGGCAAAACGAAGGACCAGGTGAGCTCGCGCGGTGGTGACGAGCGGGGAGCCAAGCCCTGGACCAGCCCCCCCCTCCAATCTCAACGGCCCCGGGCGCAGCCCCGAGGCTGCTCTGGGCGACTCCTGACACCCACGCCTCCTTCCAGATTCTCCTGCTGATCGACATCGAGCTCTCTTACATCAACACTAACCACGAAGACTTCATCGGATTTGCCAAGTACGTAATCGATGGGTGGGCTGGGTCCTCGGGCTCTGTCAATGAGGTTCGTGGTCCTGTCCCCACGGAGGCGTGCGGGTTACGTGACCCTTCCGGGGTCGCCGCCGGGCAAAACTGGCGGGGGAGTCTCCCACGTCCCACCGTAATTCACCAAAACGGCACCTTCTTCACCCCACTTCTCCCAGATTTGGGGTGCGGGAGCTCCGCTTCTCTCCTTGCCGCCCGGCCGGCGTTTGAGGGCCTGGAGATCTGAGCCGCCCCGCGTCATTCCGCAGACCTTAGCCCAAAACGGGCTTCGTGTTAACGCTGCTCGTTAGGGCAGCCGGCCTGAAAAGCTGGGGTCGGGTTGTTCGGCCTCAGACAGATGAACTGCGCTCGCAGGGGCGCTGGGGGGGGGTGAATTAAGGTCGTTAAGGCCGCTGAATTAAGGTCGTTAAGGCCGTTGCTGCCCTTCAGCAGAGAGCGGGAATTTCCCGAGGCCCGCTGGGCGCACGAAGGGGAGGCGAAACGACTCTCCCGTGTCCCAGTGGAGCTCTGGGCCTGGAACGGGCAGAAATGTCTCCCCATCTTGGAGCTTCTCCCCCCTAACCCTCTGCCCCGGCGGGCGAGGCCAGGGCCGGGAGCGGGGCTCTCCTGGAAGGCTGTCTTCCTTCAGCTTCGCCTTTCGCCCGGAGGATTTTGGGCCAGAGGACGGGCTTAGCGGTTTCGGCCAGAGGATGGGCTAGCGTTTTCCATCGGCGCGGCCCCAAACCGGGCGGTAGCTTTTCGGAAGCGCCCAGAGCTCCCCCTCGGGTGTCCCCGCGCAGAAGGAGCGAAGGCGAGCGGCTCTGCCCGGAGCTTGTCGTCCCCTTCGCCAGACAGTGCCCCCTCCGCCTCTTCCTCTTCAAATTCACCTAGTCTTCCTCTTGGTTTCATTTCCCCCCCCCCCCCCCCCCTTTTTTTACGTCTCTGCTTTTCACCTTCATTCGCAGTTCCTTCCTCTTCTCCTAATCTCTCCTGTTTTTCCTTTGAACCATCATCTCCCTCTTTCCTCCGGACTCCTCTGAACCTCTCCCACTCCCCAGCTGTTACACTGAGCAGCACGTCGCGACAGGGTGGGTACCCGCTCACGCAGCATGTCCCGGAGCGGCTGGGGCAGCCCCTCTTGCACCTTCCCCTCCCCGCAGCCCGGAGGGAACGTTGGCTGGGACCTGGAGAGGCTTTTTCTCCAAACTCGGCCGCTTTCGGATTGGCGCGTGCGGTGGAGCTCAGCCGCGGGAGAACTTCCCGCTCCCGTCCGGGCTGCCGCGACGCCGGGGCTGGCTCGGGACCGGGCGCCCGGCTCGCCTCGTGGCCGAGGGTTTAGGGAGGAACCGTGAGGATCGGGGCAGGCAGAGGACGATCTCCTGACCTCCCCTGGTCGGGGGGGACGGTGGCCGGGGACGCCCTGGGTCGGTGGGACGGTGGGTGCCATCCCACAGTCACCTTCCCGAGGGAAAGGACCCCGTTTGTGCATGTAAACTGCTGCTCCGGGGGGTTGTCCCGCCGTTATTCTAACTGTTTTCATGGATTTTATTCCTGCTCCTGACTAACGGTTACGTCCCGCACCTCGCCCCTCGTCTCTTGGGTTGCTCAGGAGAGACAGGTAGCTTTCCCTCTGGTGCAGGTATGCTTTTTTTCCGACCTGGGGTGGTGGGGGGGGGACGAGGAGGCTGCAGGTCTTTCTGGAGATGAGCTTTCTGGGGTGCATCGGCTCGGCTGGGGTCACCGGCAGAAATCCCTCGGTGTTTCCTCTCCTGCGAGCGACAGCCTCGCCCCGCTGGAACGGGCGGGCTCGTAAATACCTGGAGATAAGGACTGTAAGGAAGGAGATAAAGGTGTCCGGGTTGGAAAGCCCCGTCCCCCTCCCTCGGCACTGCTGCCTCGTGTGTGTTCTGTCCTGGGCAAAACTCGGGAAAGGGGCTCCTCCGTCCGCATCGCGGCGTGCTGGCAGCGCGGAGCCTGGGTGGTCGCGCTTCGGTTTTACGTGACGGGCTTCCCCTTTGGACTCAGCTCTTCCTTACGGCATTCCGGGGGGTGGGAAGCGTGTCGTGGGCTCGGAGCGCTGGTCGCTTTGCTTCGCCTTCCCGGCCTAAAGTTGCTTTTTTTTTTTTTTTTTTTCTCCCCGTTGTTGTTCTCCCAGCGCGCAGCAAAGGAACACCCAGACGAACAAGAAAAGAGCCATCCCCAATCAGGTACGGCCGCCGGCGCCCCGGCCCTCCCTCGTCGCGTGGGGCAGAGGTAGCTCTCCAGGATTTCCCACCCCGGCAGCGATCGGAGCAACCCGGAGCTGCGTTTCGCAGCTCTGAAATCGGGATTCGAGTCGATCCACCTAAATCCTTCCTTGGGGGGATATTTCACACGGGGGGCTGGAGACGGGGAAGACGGAGCTCCGGCTCCCCGAGCGGGAGCGTTTGCTCCGCGGGAGCTCGTCTAAAAGCAGGGTTTGAATTGATCCACCTAAATCCTTCCTTGGGGGGGATATTTCACGCTGGGGCTGGAGATGGGAAAGACGGAGCTCCGGCTCCCCGAGCGGGAGCGTTTGCTCCGCCGGAGCTCGTCTAAAAGCAGCCGGGACAAACCGGGTGGCACGCATACTGCCGGAGGAGCCCCGGGCAAGGGCTGGCCTAACCCACCCCGTCCTGCCCCCCCACCCCCCCCACGTCGATCCAGACGAGCCCTCGGGGTGGGGGGCGGCGGGGACGGGGACCAGCCGTGGCCCCCTCGGCTCCGGCTCGTCGTGCAGCCTCCCGCTCCCGCAGGGTCTTTGCTGGCCGGTGCGCGGGACTGAGAGCAGCACTGGGAGTGCCCCCCCTGCATGGTGTTAGGTCTTGCAGTACCTAACGCAGACATTGCCTCTCGTTTGGAAAGAATGTAATGAAATATTAACACTGTAAAATTATAATTAATAGCATGTAACTGTTTTTCTTTTGCTGTTTTTCTGCTTTTTCCTACCATTTTTGTGCTTCCTGCTCTCTTCTCCCTTCCATCACTTCGTTTTTCTTCACTCTTCTGTCTCCTTGTCCTGCTTTTTTTTTTTTTTTTTTCCCCCCCCCCCCTTAATTTTGCGCACCTAAAGGGTGAGATACTGGTAAGTACCCACATAGTGTGATAGTGCTGGTGGACGACACCCAGTGATGGACGTGGCCCTGCCAGAAAAACCTTCCAGGCCCCGAACGACTCCTCTCGCTCCCCAGAATTGAGTGCGCTGAGGAAGGGCAGGATCCCCCCCGAGGGGAGCGACCGGGCTCCGGGGGTTTAGTCTAGAGGTGGAAATTCGGTCTGACCCCTTCATCCCCACGCCTGGGCTCTTCTGTGGCCAAAAAAACCCCCACGGGCTCGGGGCTGATCCCTGCCCACACCATGGCTGTGGGGCTGCCCGTGCTGCCCGGCACCTGCCTGGACTCGCTGGGATCAGGGAGAGCTGGAAGCTGGGATTCAAGGCGTGAGTACTGGTTTTGCTGGCCCTTGGGAAGCAAGAAGCCAAACCCGTTGGGGTTTTAGCACCGGGCTGCCGCGGCGGGACGCGGTTCCCGTCGGGTGGTGGCAGGGGCTGGGGGCCGGGCAGTCGCTCTGCCCGCGTTTTGGGGGAGGCATCACCCCCCCCCCCCCCCTCCCCGTTTGCAGCAGCTGCCCCGGGGGGGCTGGAGGTGCGTTCCCTCCCCCAAGCTGCCTTTTTTTTTTTTTTTGTGTGTGTGTGGGGAGGGGGGGGTGGGGCTTGAGGCGGGGTCCTGGCTTTGGGCCGGCTGCCCGTGGATTTACCAGTCCCGGCGGCACGCAGAAATCCGGCGAGAAGCAGGAGTGCCTCGGCTCCCAGCTGTTGGCAGCTGGAGGAGGCAAACTTTTGGGGGATCTTGGGCCGCTCGGAGCCTCGTCATTCAGCCAGCAGCGAGCTTTTCCGCAAGCGCACTCACTTCTGGGGAGGCGGAGGGCAGCGTTGCCTCCGAATGGAAGAGAATTTCCCTGTCTGCCGTCGCACGATCCCCTCCGGGGGGGTGTGGGGGGGTCCCGGCCCCCCTTGCTCCGGGCTTGGAGCTGAGCATCGCGCGGGCGGTCTGAGAAAATGGAAGTGTCTGAGAGGGAAACAACCTCCAAACCCCCGATTGGGGCTTTTATGGCCTCGCGGGCAACGGCTTCGGGCATTGCCTTGGTCCCTCGGGAGGGGGGGGGGTGGGCTCAGCACCCAAATCTCATCCCGGGGAAGGAAAATAACGGGGGTTCCTGTAGCTGGGGGTGGGCGCCGGGCCGGTGGATGGAGGCAGAAGGTTGGAGTCGGCTGCCCCCGCGGCAGAGCGGCAGGAGCTCGGGCGCCGCGCGCTTTTTTTGTCTCAAAACCGGGTTTTTAGGAGGCGGCTGTAGCAGCCCCCGTCCCAGCGGAAAGGCGGGAGGGACGCGGGGGCGAGGCGGCGCCCGTCCCGCTCTTCCCCGGGGGGGGGGGTTTGTACCTTCTGCCCTGTGAAACCCCGAGGTTTTCCCACCGCAGCCTTGAGGGGGGGGGGGGGGGGGCGACACACGACCCCCCGTGCCCCTTTCCCAGCTCTTCCCACTGCGTTCAGACGCTTCCATTTTCTTTTAGCACCGTCCAGACGTTGCTGCAAAAACCAAAGGAACATCATCCCCCCCAGGGCCTGTCCCTTGCCTCCCCCCGCGATGATTTCTGCGCAGGGCCGCTCTCCCATCACTGGCTGTGCGGACGTGGTCGTGCCGGGTGACGGGAAGGTGGAGATCTGACAATTAAAAGGATTCCAGGCGCCAGCCCCGGGGCCGGGCGGCTTCTGATTCGGAGCCGGGCAGAGCGCTGGAGCCCCTCTGCCCAGAGCTTGCCCGGCTTACGAGCCCGAAAAGCTCTCGCCTAGATGAGTCGGTCTTAAAGGAACTTCTTTCTGGGCTCTCCGCTCTGCTGCTCGGTGCCAGGCACTGTGGCTCAGCCTTCCTCTCTCCTCCTCCTCCTCCTCTATCCCCAAATGCAGAGGGTGTCCTGGGTCCTCGAGCCAGCGCGCGGCGGGGGTGGCTGGCTCTGCAGGGTGCCCTCCCCTCCTCTGCCCTTTAGCCGATAAATCAAATCTTGGTTTTTCTCTGACGCTCCGGGCTCCCTCTACGCTCCCGCTTCGGATCTCTCCTCGCATCTCGGAGCCGCCCTGACGGCACATCCCCTGTTCCCATCCCCTCCAAACCTGACCCAGCACCTGCCCGAGCCTCCAGCCCAGCTCGCAGGACTCGCTTTGCTGCTGGACCTTTTCCCTCTGCCCTTCCTTCACCCCGATCCCCTCGGCTGCTCCATCTCCCCACTCCTCAGTTCCTTTAAAACCGGGCTCGGTTCAAATTCAGAGATGGTTTTGAAACGCAAACCAGGGGCTCTCAAACATGCCAGAGCGAATCGGAAGGCGAAATCTTTAATCTGACAACCTCTGCTGTCTTAATTTCAGGGCTCCTTCCTTCCCCTCACCAGAAAAATCTGTACGAGTTAAGTTTTAGCTCTAGCTGCCTGTGCCCGCCGGTGCACCGCGCTTTGCCTGTGCCTAACACGGCGGATTTTGTCGCGGCTTTTACGTCGGCAGCCGCAAAACCAGAGCGGCCCGAGCCCCGTCCCTCCCGACGGGGTGTTCCCCCCCACGGCGCACGGAAAAGCCTCGGCACGAAAGGGGCCGGCGCCGGCTCCGTTTGACACGTTTAATCCCGGAGTGGAGCTTAAAAGCCCTGCCCGGGTCTACGGGGGCGGCTGCTCAGGGCTGGTTCCCGTACGAGCCGTAACAAACTCCGCGTCTCGCTCGTGTCTTAACTCTTCTCTGCTTAACCGCAAGGGTCGGTCGTTCTCCCTCCCATCCATGCTTTGGACTGACTCAAATCAACCCCCACCCCCCCCCCCAAGGTGCATTTCCACCACCCCCCCCCCTTCCCGTCTGCCCATTAACTAACCTGTGTGGTGGCACTAACCCCTGTGAAGCGCTGGGGTGGAAAAGCCCCCCCCGTCCCCCCAAAAACAGCCCGGGACACGGCTCACGTCCCGGGAACACACGCGTGTGGGTGCCAGGCTGCTGAGCAGGGCCGGGGGGTGGGGGGGGAGCGTTGTCTGTGTGCGTGGTGGGGGTTCATGTGCTGTGCTACCTCCCCGCTCGGCTCGGCTCTCCCTAACTAAGTCGGGTTTTACAGGAGCGGGCGGTTTTTCGGGCTCTGGCAGCGGTCGGCGTTGCTCCTGCCCCGGGAAGGGCTCACACCCCCCCACACCCTTTCTGCTTCCAGCGCAGAGCCCCGGCACCCCAGGAAAGGGGGGTGGGGGGGTGGGTGTGTGTGTGACAGCAGAAGCAGCCGGATTTGGGGACCCCCCCCCCCATCCCCGCTTTGCACCTGCGCTTTAATCCTGCTCAGAGCCGTGCCCTTCCTCCCGGTCCCCCAGCTCCTCCCAGAACAACGGAGGGACCCCGCCAGGCGCAGCGCAATCCTGCCTGCCTTCGAAAAGCTTTAGAAAACCCACGGTTTGCCCCAAAACCTGGGGGCTGTGCCGGGGGAAGGCAGCCCGTCTAACCCCTCTTGGCGTGGTTTGAGCCCGGTCGGCGGCCTGACTCCACGCACCCGCTCTCTCCCCCTTTTTCTTCTGGCAAAGCGAAGGGACAGATGAGCCAGGCTTTGGGGTTCGGGATGGGACTAGGAAAAAAATTCACCCTCGCTAGTCCCAGCCCAGCCCTGGCTGCTCCAGACTCAAGGGTAGGCGCGATTCCAGCCCCCAGCCCGTCCCCGTCGCCCCGCTCTCGCGGCTGCGAGGGGTTTGGGGTGATTCCTGGTGAGGCGGTGCCGTCGCCGAGGCTCACCCAGCGACGGTGGGGTTGTTCCCCGAGGACTTTTCGTCTCGGGGAAGCCGTTAAGGGGCGCGGGGACCCTCCTTGGCCGCGGTCGGGTTGTTCCCCTCGAGGTTCCGACTGTGCCGGGACAGGCGTGGGCCGGTGGAGCGAGGGCTGTGCCGCAGGGACCGGCTGCGGCTCCCCGGGGCCGATGGAGGAGAGGGAACGCTGCGGAGAACGCGGTTCCTCGTGAAAAAAACGGCGGCTTGCACCACCACGCTTCGGCAATCTCGCTTGGGCGCGCGTTGCGAGGGGGGGCCCGGCCGTGAGGCTGCGAGGGAGCCCTTCGGGGTGTGGGGGGGGGGCTGCCGGCTCGGCTGGTCCCGCCGGGGAGCGGGTTTTGGGGTGAGGAACGCGGGATTCCTCCTTTCTAAAGAGGCCGGGGGCCGCTTTGACGGCGCTCGGCGGGGGCAGGCGCTCGCGGGGATCCCGGGGATGGGGAGAGCTGCTCCGGGAGCCGCCGCGCTGGGTAAGTTGGTCGTTTCTGAGCTGAGGTGGGGGGGGGGGGGGGGGGGCTGCTCGGCTCGGCTCCGCTAGACCTCCCCTTGCCTCGAGCGCGGGGCGGCGCGGCGGCCGAGGTTTGCTTTTTACAGGGGTTCCCGGCGCTGCGGGACACCCCAAAACAGTAACACCCACCCCCCCCTCCAGCCCCGGGGCAGCTCCGCTCCTCTCCCGCACCCTGGAATTCCCGTCTCATCCCTTTCGGGGCGCTGGAGCTTTGGCTCTCGGGCCCCTCTCCTGGGCGGGCTGCCGCTGGCCGAGCCCCCGGGGAGCCGGGTCGGGGTCCGACCGTGCGCGTGGGTGAGGGCTCGCTGCTTCTCTCGCCGGGGCTTTGGGAGCTAGAAGAGCTCCAGGCGTCCCCCTAAACGTGCTGCCAGCTTCCCTGCCAGATAAGAGGGTGTGTGTGTGTGTGTGCGTGTGTGTGTGTCCTCAAAAATCCGCCTGGTTGAGGGTCTTTCTTTTGCTGAGGCTGGGGCTTTCAGTGGAGGGTCGGGGGGAGCTGCTGGGTTGAGGTGCCTTGCTCCCCGTTCGGGGGACGCGCCCCGGGAGACCCCGCAGTAGCCCGTAACCTCTTCTCCCTTCCTCCCCTCCGCTCCCCACCGCCGTGCCGCTGCCTCCAGGTGATCCGCAGGGGCTGGTTGACCATCAACAACATCAGCATCATGAAAGGCGGCTCCAAGGAGTACTGGTTCGTGCTGACGGCCGAGTCGCTCTCCTGGTACAAGGACGAGGAGGTAGGCGGGAGCGGGGAGAGGTGTGGGGGGGTGGGATTCGTGGGGCTGGAGGGTGTGAGAATTAGCGCCCGGGATTAATTAACGGGGTGGGTCTGGCGGCGTGCAGGAGCGGGGGACTCCTCTGGAGGGTGCCCTGTGGCTGCTGCAAGATCCCAACCAGCAAATTCCATCCCCCCCCCATCTCCAGAGGCTCCTCCGGAGCTGGGGATTGTGTAAACACAGATAAAGTGGGAGACACTGGGGGGGCTGCGGGATCCGGCCGCCGGGCCTGGGGGTGGCCAGACCTCCGAGGAGGATCGGGGACCTCCCGGTCCCATCCCAGTCCCATCACCCCGGGTCCCAGTTTAACCACCCCAGCCCCCGGTTTAACCACCCCGGGTCCCAGTTTAACCACCCCAGTCCCCAGTTTAACCACCCCAGGTCCCGGTTTAACCACCCCAGGTCCCTGTTTAACCACCCCAGCCCCCAGTTTAACCACCCCAGCCCCCAGTTTAACCACCCCGGGTCCCAGTTTAACCACCCCAGTCCCCAGTTTAACCACCCCAGGTCCCTGTTTAACCACCCCAGGTCCCAGTTTAACCACCCCAGGTCCCTGTTTAACCACCCCAGGTCCCAGTTTAACCACCCCGGGTCCCTGTTTAACCATCCCAGTCCCCAGTTTAACCACCCCAGCCCCCAGTTTAACCACCCCATGTCCCAGTTTAACCACCCCCAGCCCCCAGTTTAACCACCCTGGGTCCCAGTTTACCACCCCGAGTCCCTGTTTAACCACGCCAGCCCCCAGTTTAACCACCCCAGCCCCCAGTTTAACCACCCCGGGTCCTAGTTTAACCACCCCAGGTCCCAGTTTAACCACCCCAGCCCCCAGTTTAACCACCCCGGGTCCCAGTTTAACCACCCCGGGTCCCTGTTTAACCACCCCAGCCCCCAATTTAACCACCCCACCCCCCAGTTTAACCACCCCCAGCCCAGCAAAGCCAGAGGAGCAATGCGGGGTGGGCAGGAGGGAAACTCTCTCATCCTGGTCCTGGGGGAAGGCAAACCGGCAGCGCCGCCTGGGGCTCGGCTGCGGCTGAAGGAAAACTCGGCCTTTAACCCGGTTGGGACCATCGGTTTATTGTCACCAAGCTCCCCCCCCCAGGGCTGACCCCCGTGGGGTTGTGCCGTGCGTCGTCTGAACGCGGCGTTCCCGGTTTGGAGGTGGCCGCTGGGGCTCGTATCCCCGCGCCGGGGCCGAGCTGCCGCTGCTGAGCGGGGAAAAGATCTTGAAACTGGAAGGAATTGGGGGGCGCGGGGGTGGCAGGAGCTGGCGCTGCCCGCTGTCCGGCCCCCCCCCAGCCACCGACCCCCCCCCCCCCCCCCTCCAGGGCCACCCTGTGAGCGTGGGGAAACTGAGGCACGGGGAGGGAACCCCCATTCCCTCCGCTCCCAGGGTTTCAGGACCCCTTCTTTTTCCCTGCTGTGTGTCTGGGAAGGGGTTGCTGCTGCTCCCGGACCCGTTTTGGGGGGGGGGGGTGGTGAGGAGGTGGGGAGGGGTGGGGGATCTGCTGCCCCAGCCCTTGGGCTGGACGTGCCGGGGGCTGGAAACGGCATTTCACCGCCCAAACCCAAAGTGATTTCTTTGGGTTCAACCTTCGGGGAGGGCGGGGGGGGGGTGGCAGCAGGAACCGGCCCCTTCCCTGCCGAGCCGCCGGCACCGGAGCCCCCCCTCCTCGGCGGCACCGTGCTCGCCGCCGCGCCGCTTTCAGAGGCTTTTTCCAGTTTTTCCAACCCCACGATCTGAAAACCGGTCCCTGGTCTCGCCTTTTCCCCTTCATCGGCCTCCCGGCCAGATACCCCAGCGGGCGGGGGGGGGGGGGGGGCGCTGGCTCTGCGGGGGCGTTTTGGGGGGACACGGGGGGGTTCCCTGCGGCCGCTGCCTCGCCAGAGCCCGCCACGCCGGTCAGAAAAATGAGACGTGAACACAACTTTTTATTTCCCGGGAGCCGCCCGGCAGCTGGATGAGAGCAAATCCCGCCCCCGTTCCCTTTGTTCATCCTTTATCTCCCGAGCGAGCTGCGAAGGTGAACGTGTGTGTCCCCCCCCGCCACCGAGGCAGATTTTTACCCCCTTTTCCCCACCCCAAGCCCCCCCCTTTTTTAAATCAGCCTCCTAAAAGAGAAGGAAACATGTTGAGCTGCTAAAGCCCCCCCCCCCCCCCACCTCGGCCGCCGGGGCTCCCTTGGTTTCCTGCACAGAGGCCTCGCTGGGGGGGGGGGGGGGGGGCCGGGGGGGGGGCCCCGTCTGGCCCCTCCGCGGCGGGTAATGAGAACCAGCCGCCCCGGGGATGAATGAGGCTCTGTCTTTTGCAAGCTCAGTTCTCCCCCTGCTGCCATCCCCCCCCCCTCCTCCAAATCCCCTCCACCCCCCGTTCAAAAAAAACCGAACCGCTGGGAGCTGCTAAGCCGGCACCCTGGGCTTTTGGGGGGGGGTGGTGGGGTGGTGGGGTGTCCAGCCCACCCTCTCGCTTCCCTGCTGCAAGAGTGGGGAGCGCTGTGTGTGTCCCCCCCCCCCCGCCGCCCCGGCCTCGGCTCTGCCCTCCCGCTCGGCACCGCCGAGGCAGAAAAAAAAAAAAAAAAAATACAAACCAAAAAAAAAAACCCCAAACCAAAAAAAAAACCAACCCAAAACAACAACAACGCAAAAATAAATAAAAACCCCAAACCCCCAAAATACCAAAACCCAACCCAAAACCACGCCGCCTCCACGAGTCGGAGCAAAAACGGGACGAAATGGCCCCGAAAAGGGCCGGACCCGGGCTCGCTCCCCGCCTTACCTTGCGGTGCTGGGGTGCTGCTGGGGCGCTGCTCGGCCAAACCCGCTCTAACCAATGTGCAGACTACTGTACAACTTCAAACCCTCCTGAACAGGTAGTCTGAACACTGGGCAGGCTGGGCTGGAGTCTCCGGCTTCCCACGGCATCCACGGGGGGTGGGTTTTTATTTTTAATTTCTCCCCCTCCCGTTTGTTTTGGTTTTGGGGTTTGTTTTTTTTTTTTTGTTTTTTTTTTTGGTTGGTTTTTGGTTTTTTGGTTTTTTTTTTTTTTTTTTAATAAGGAGAGAAGCCCGATGGGCGAAAGGAAACTGCTTTGTCTCTCTTCTGACGTGGCAAAGTCCTTGCAACCGAATCCAGTCTGGAAAAAAGTTGTGGGTTTTTCAGGAAATCATGAGGAGGAGTGTGGGGCGGCGGTGGAAGGGGGGTGGCGGGGGGGGGGGGGGGGGGAAGGCTTTGGGTTCGTGGCCTCTCTACAAAGGCGAACGTCACTTTTTGGGACCGTGTGCGCAGCATCTGGAGACAAAGCGGAGCTGGAGCTGCTCTAAACAATTCCAGATGTGGCGTTTCGGCAGCGCCGGGGAGGCCCCCGGCTCCTTCCAACCGTCCCCTCCGGCAGGGCCGGGCACCTGGGGGGGGTGTGTGTGTGTGTGTGTGTGTGGAAAATTCTTGGGGTCCCAGGGTGGGTTCTGGGGGAGCTGACCCCCTCCCGTGCCGAGGGAAGGCAGCGGAGCCCCAAGGGCCCAAATCCCTTCGGCGTTACCAGGAAAAAGGCCGAGGGACGCCCCAAAAGGGGAGCGGCGCTCCGTGCCGGAGCCGCGATCCGGAGCGGTGCCGATTCGGTGGGGGGGGGGGCAGGTCGCTCCATCCCATGTAAAGCTCTCGGGGCTGAGCCCCAAAGCGCGTCTTGGTGGCCTTTTTTTTGGGGGGGGGGGGCGAGCCCTCGGGAAACGTCGGGGTTTCCCTCTGCTCGGGGTGGCGGAGCCGCGCCCGCTCGCTCTCATCCCGCCCTCCCTCTCGTCCCCCTCGCCCAGGAGAAAGAGAAGAAATACATGTTGCCTTTGGATAATTTGAAAATCCGCGACGTGGAGAAGGGCTTTATGTCTAACAAGCACGTCTTTGCCATCTTCAACACGGAGCAGAGGTAAGGGCTGGGAGCGGGAGCGGGCGGCGGCCGGGACCTCCCGGGATCCCTTCGCTCCCCGGGTGCCGCGCCGGGCTCGCAGCGCTGCCGGAAAACGCGCCGCGGTTCCCGGCCTGGGGGGTTTTGCTTTTCCCTCGGGCCTCGCCGGTCCAAAGGCCGCGGAGCCCGGAGCGCCTGTGGTCTGGCAGGGGGGAAGGATTTCTCCGACGGAAAAAGCAGCTTGTCAGTATTGACCTAGTTGTTCCGGAGGGATTCGGGGCTCCCTCGGGGCTCCCCCGACTCGCCCTCCGCGGCGCTCACCCCCCCGCCGCCGCGCTCCGCTCCTGCTTTAGGAACGTGTACAAAGATCTCCGTCAGATCGAGCTGGCCTGCGACTCCCAGGAAGACGTGGACAGCTGGAAAGCCTCCTTCCTCCGGGCCGGGGTTTACCCGGAGAAAGACCAAGTAAGCACCCGGCGGGGTTTGGGCGAACGCGGCGGCCGCGGGGCGCTGCCCCACCCCCGGAGCTGGGGGCCGGGGCGGTCCCGGGGGAGAGGACGAACCTCGGCGGTGCCCAGCCGGTGGGTGTTGTCGTTCCGGGCCTCGGGATAAAAGCCCGGGCGTCAAAAAGCGCCCTCCTGGGATGGGCGAGGGTGGGAAGGAGCGTGGAGCGGAGGGGATTCTCCCTCCCCGGCGGTGAGTTGCCTCCCCGCTCTCCCCGAGCAGACCGAGAACGAGGACGGCGCCCAGGAGAACACCTTCTCCATGGACCCCCAGCTGGAGCGCCAGGTGGAGACCATCCGCAACCTCGTCGACTCCTACGTGGGCATCATCAACAAATCCATCCGCGACCTCATGCCAAAGACGATCATGCACCTCATGATCAATAACGTGAGTTGGGGGGGGGGGGGGAGGTGGGGGGTCCCTTCGGGGCGAAGGGAGAACCCGAGCCGGGGATTTCGGGGTTCTCTGGGAATCCTGGCCGTCGCCGAGCGGCGGGATTTGAGGAGTTTCGGATCCGTTTTTACACCTTTGAGTTGGAGCAGCTCTGCGGGGGGAAGGCGCTTGGGATTCGGGTGCCGGCGTGACCGCGGCCGCCGGACCGTTCCCGCTCCCCGGGTTTGGCGCTTTCCGGGCTGACTTGGCCTTTTTTTTCCTTTTAAGACCAAGGATTTCATCCACTCGGAGCTCTTGGCTTACCTGTACTCCTCGGCCGACCAGAACAGCCTGATGGAGGAGTCGGCCGACCAGGCGCAGCGGCGGGACGACATGCTGCGCATGTACCACGCTCTGAAAGAAGCCTTGAACATCATCGGCGACATCAGCACCAGCACCGTCTCCACGCCGGTGCCCCCGCCCGTGGACGACACGTGGCTGCAGACCGGCAGCGGGCACAGGCGAGTTTGGCGAGGGGCTGAGGTGGGGGATTTGGGGTTGGTTTTTTTTTGTTTGTTTTTTTTTTTTTTTTCCTGGGGAGGGCCGCGGGCCGCCAGCGCTCCGTTCCTTGAGTTTTTTCTTTTATTTTTTCTCTCTCTCCGCAGCCCCCCGCCTCAGCGCAGACCTCCCTCCGCCGTCCTGCCGCCGGGCCGGCCGCCGGCTGTGAGGGGGCCGACGCCGGGGCCCCCCCTCATCCCCATCCCCGTGGGGGGACCCTCGTCCTTCGCGGCTCCCCCCATCCCCTCCCGCCCCGGACCCCAGAACATCTTCGCTGCTAATAACGACCCCTTCTCAGCCCCTCCTCAGATCCCGTCGCGGCCGGCACGCATCCCCCCCGGCATTCCTCCCGGCGTGCCCAGGTAAGACACCCCGTTTGCAGCCAGCCCCCACTGCAGGGGGGGGGGGGGGCTCTCACTGTGGCTTCCAGCCTTCCCAAAGCCAGATTTGGGGGGGGGGTTGGGGGGTGGTTTTCCTGCCCCTCAGGGCTGGCTCCTCACCTTGGGCTGAGTTTTTCCCAACGCCCCGATGCATCCGAGGTGCGAAACCCCTCGGTGCCAGGGAGGCAGCTCGTGGGTTTTTTGTGGCTCCCCCCTCCCAATTCCCTCCAGTCCCTCCCCCCCCGGCTCCCAGTCCCTGCGGAAGGATCGGTGCTGGTCACTGACGCACTGGAGATCGGGGAGGGGGGGGGGGTCCTGCTGTGTGTGTGTGTGTGTCCCTCCTCGGGCCCGTTTCCACGCTGACGCCTCCGTCCCCCTTCTCTCTGCAGCAGGAGACCCCCGGCCGCGCCGACCCGGCCCACCATCATCCGACCGGCCGAGCCCTCCCTGCTCGATTAACCGCCCGGGAGCCCCCGCGCCTGCTGGTTTTTGGAAGGAGATTGGGTGGGGGGGGGAAGGAGAAAGGCGGGGGGGGGGGGAAAGAAAGGAGGAAGGGGGGGGAAAAAAAAAAAACCCAAACCCAACCCACGCCCCGCCTCTAATCTCTTGTTTTTAAACCATCCCACCCAGAGCAGCCCCCCGATGTGCCGCCCCCCCTGTATAATAAACCGCGGAGGATTATATATTTTTCTTTTCTGGGGGGGGGGGGTGTTTGTTGAATATTGCACTTTTTGTCAGAAATTCCCCCCACTCGTGCCGTGGGGGCTGAGGGGGGGCCTGAGTGGAGGCGACGGGACCGGGGGCGGCCCAGAATCTCCCGGCGCTGCCGCTGGGGCCGGGCGGATGGTTCCTGCCTGGTCGCTTTCTTCCTCTTCCTCCTCCTCCTCCTCTTCCCCACTCCCCCCCCCCCCCACGTCCCTCCCCCAGAATTTTTGTATTAATATATTATATATAAAACTTAGCGATTTTTGGTTTTTCTCTCCCGAACCCGAAAGTCGATTGCTAATCTTGACCATAGTCTGTATTTCAGTTTTTATAGCTTTGAGGAAAATTTATATATGGAAAAACGCTGGGAGTGCAGCCCAGCCGGTCGCTAATAAATCTAACCCGCCGCGAAGCCGGAGCAGCCTCTCCCGGCGGCCCCGTGTCGCGCGAGGCGCCGGCTCGGCACCCAACCTCAGGTATTTCCAACGCTCCCAACTCACCGCCAAGCGCCCGGCCCCCCGGCCCCCCGCCGCCCCAAACCCTGAAATGAGACTGGAAAAACGCGGCGGGGGGGGTGTGTGGGGTGTGTTAACCCTGGCCACCTCCGCGTCCTCCCGGGCTGGTGTTGACCCCGCGCCGGCAGCGGCTTTTTGGGCCCCGAGGAGGAGGAGGAGGAGGGGGAGGAGGAGGGGGGGGAGCGCTTCCCCCCGCTGCCACGACCCCCCCAGCCCAGGACAGGCTATTCCCCGGGTTGGGGGGGGGGTGGGGGTGTTGGGTCTGGGGGGTGCCCGGAGGGAGGAGGGAGCTTTGCTGCGGCGTGTGTCGTCGTTCCCCCCCCCCCCCCCCTGACTTAGACACCGGTGTCTCCCCCGAGGAGCCGGCCGCCCCGCCGGGCTCTGCCCGGGAGCAGAGGTTGTAAATATTTTTACAGACTGTATTAATTGTATAAAAAAAAAAAAAAATTAAAAAAAAAAATTAAAAAAAAATAATAAAAAAGGAAAAGATTAAAAAAAAACAAACCAAACCAAACCACCGATAACGTAGGTTTTTACAAACATCACCTCCAGCCCGGGCGGGAGCGCGGGGCCGGGGCTGCGGCGCTGCCTTAATCAGGGGAGGGGGCCCAGCCCCCCCCATTAATCCATTAATGCCTTCGGCCCACGCGCCGGCCACACGCCCCTGGGGGGGGGTTTTGGGGGGGGGTGGGATTGTTGGGGTGTTTGGTGACGCCCCCGGCACGGCCGCGCCGGGCAGCTCTCGCTGACCCCGGTGTGTGGCTGGTGCAGCTGCTTCCCCGGCCGCGGGGTCCCGGCCAGCGCTTGGCCCTTCCTGCTCCCCCGGTGCCGCTGTCGCCAGCGGCTCTTGGGGGGGGGTGTGGGCCTGTCTCCCCCCACCCCCCCCCCCCCCCTGCTTCCAGCACCCCCCCCACCCTCCGCTCACCTCATCCGGCCAAACCCCGTCGCGCTCCGCTCCTCTCCCTCCAACGTGTAAGTGCCTCCGGTCTGTATCCTATTAATGAACTAAAAAAAAAAAAATTAAAAAAAAAAAATTAAAAATAAAGGGAAAAAAAAAAATAATAATACAGATGTTGCAGTGAAAGTCTCTGGCGCTTCGTGGTGGTTTCGGTCGAGCCTTTTCCTTCGCCCTCCAGTGTCCGATTGCTGGGGGGGGGGGGGCTCGAATCAAGGGGAGCTTTGGGGGGGTCTTGAATCAAACGGGGGGTTTGGGGGGGGGGTTCAAATCAAACGTGGGTTTTTTTTTTTAGGGGGGGGTGTCTCGCGTGGCTGATGGAGCCGTCGCCTTTATTGTCGAGGTGCTGCTTGGGCGATTGAGCCGCCTCCTGAGCTTAAATAAATAAAAAAAAAAAGGGGGAGGGGGGGCAGCGGGGAGCGGGGATTTCCCGGCAGCTCCGTTAACCAAGAGTTCACCGACGGCTCTTGCAAACCCCAAATCTTTTCTTTTTTGCATCAAACCGAACCCACCCTCCGGGCAACGGCCGCGCTCCGGCCTTACCTTTCACGGTGGTTTTGAGCCCCGCCCCCCCCGGCCCCGCCACCCCCCGGGTTGCCCAAAATTCTTGGGAATGAAAAAAAAAAAACCTCCCTGCCCCCGGTGCCGGCGCAGCGGGAGGGGCGGCGGGCAGCGATCCCTCGGTCCCTAATTAGGCCGGTTGTTAACGAGGGAGTGGAGCAGGGGGGGGGCTGAGATGGGGGGGGTCTCACCCCGAGATGGTGGAGGTTTTGGGGACACAGGGACCCGCCCAGGGGCTCCCCTGGGCTGGAGCAGCCGCTCTGGGGGGGTCCTGGCCCGGGACCCCCCCCCCCCCAGGGCACCTCCCGTCTCTCTAAACACTCTTTTTCTTCTTTTATTTTTTTTTTACCCGGCTGCCCGGACACAGGCTCCCTCTGTGCCACCCCCCCCCCCCACGCCCTCAACTCCCCCCTCCCCAAAGGGATTTTCCTCTCTCACCCTCCCCGGGCTGTTTTTTTCGGGGGGCAGCAACCCCCCCCCCCCCATTTCGCAGCCTTTCTTTCCATTTCACCCCGCTCCATCGCCCCCCCCCGGCCGTGAATGGGCAGCAGGAGCGACATTTTCCGTTTGAATTCCCTTTTCTGGGTATTTTCCTTCAGGCTGGATGTTTCTCCTTCGGCCACGCTGGGCTCCGCCCGAGCCCCTCCCGGGGAGGGGGGGTGGAAAGGGCCACCCCGCACCCCCAAATCCGCAGGGAGGGGGAAACACAAATTCCTTCCCGGCTCCGGCTCCTCCGGAGCCTTTTCCCTCCCAGCCGAGGCGATTCCCGGGGCATTTGTCCGGCTCCAGCTGAGCCCCCCCAAACCCCCCCCCCCCAGATTCCACCCTACAACTTTCAGGATCCGAGCCCTTTCGGCGATTAACCCCGGGGAGGGGTTCGCCCCCTCAAACCTCCCTCCCTCAGCGGTCGCAGCGGCTCCAAGACACCGGGGGTGGAAAATCGCGGCAGGTTTAATCCCCGGCGGAGGGGAGCGGGTCCCTCCCCCCTGTGGCTCCGTCCCGGCAGGGAGCAGAGTCCTGGGTGTCCCCCCATGTGTGTGTGTGTCCCCCCCGCCCCCGGGCTCTGTCTACATCCGCACCGTCCTCTTGTCCTCGAAGAGGCTTTTCAGCAGGTAGACCTGGAGGAAAGCCACCACCACCAGCACGCCCAAGTTCACGGCCGACCAGAAGTTCACCCGGCCCAGGTTGCTCTCCTGAAGGTTCCGGTCTCGGGCTTCGAAAGCTCGAAGCAGCGTCTGCATCTGGATGCTCCGTTCCAGGCGGCCCCTCATGGTCTCGATGGATTCCTGGAGCGAGGGAGGGGGACACACACACAAAAAAGGGGGGGGGGGGGGGGGGGGCGGTGTGTGTGTGTGCTGCTCCGGTGTGCTGACCCCCGCGATGGGTTTGGGGGACCCAGTCCCCCCCCCACCCCCCCCCCCCGTCTTGCCACAGCGACCGGGGTGCTCAGAGCCCCGTCCAACCTGACCGTGAACACCCCCGGGGACGGGGCATCGCCCCCCCACTCTGGGCAGCCTGCGCCGGGGGCTCCCGCTCTCAGCGTGAAGAATTTCCTCCTCGGATCTGGGCCAAATCTCCCTTTTTTCAGCTTAAACCCGTCGTGTCCCCCCCCCCTTATCCCATCGCTACAGGCCCGGCGGAAAAGTCCGTCCCCATCTTTCTCCCAAGGGTGGAAAGGTGCAACCGGGTCTCCCCAGCACCTTTTCCGTGCGCTGAGCACCCCCAGCTCTCAGCCCACCCTCACAGGAGGCTGCTCCAGCCCCCCCCCCCCCCCCCTCCCCCCCCGATTCTCCCCGGGGTCCCCCCAGCACGTCCCCATCTCTCCTGTGCCAGGGCCGCCCGAGCTGGACAGAATCAGAGAATAATTGAGATCAAAAAAGACCTTAAAGCTCATCGAGTCCAACCCTAACCCCTGCCCAGCCCCAGTGTGGAGCTCCCGGGGGGGTCTCACCAGGGCAGGACCCCCCTTCCCCACCCCACTGCCAGTGGTGCCGCCCACAAGCTGCTGGTTTTCCCAGACCGTTTTTTTTGGGGGGGGGCTCTGTTTGGTTTTCCCAGAACCTGGTTCATTTTCCTGGAACCTGGTTGGTTTTCCCAGACCTGGTTGGTTTTCCCAGACCCGTTTCATTTTCCTGGGACCCGGTTTGCTTTCCCGGACCCAGCGGGTTTTCCCAGGCTCCGGTGGTTTCCCACACCTGGTTCATTCTCCTGGGACCCAGTTGGTTTTCCGGGACCCAGTTGGTTTTTGGGGACCCGGCTAATTTTCCCTGACCCGATCAGTTTTCCAAGACTCAGCTGGTTTCCCATACCCAGCTAGTTTTCCAGGACCCAGTTGGATTTCCCATACCCAGTTGGATTTTGGGGATCCGGCTGTTTTTTTGGGGACCCGGCTGGTTTCCCACACCCAGTTGGGTTTCCAAGATCTGGTTGGATTTTGGGGACCCGGTTGGGTTTCCAGGATCTGGCCGATTCTCCAGGACCCAGCTGGTTTCCCACACCCAGTTGGGTTTCCGGGACCCGGCTGGTTTTTGGGGACCCGGCTGGTTTTTGGGGACTCAGTTTTTGGGGACCCTGTTGGTTTTCCGGGACCCGGTTGGGTTTTTCCAGGATCTGGTTGGGTTTTTCCAGGATCTGGCTGGTTTCCCATACCCAGTTGGGTTTCTGGGACCCGGCTGGTTTTTGGGGACCCGGTTGGTTTTTGGGGACCCGGCTGGTTTTTGGGGACCCGGTTGGGTTTTTCCACGATCTGGCTGGTTTCCCATACCCAGTTGGGTTTCTGGGACCCGGCTGGTTTTTGGGGACCCGGTTGGTTTTTGGAGACTCAGTTTTTGGGGACCCGGTTGGTTTTCCGGGACCCGGTTGGGTTTTTCCAGGATCTGGCTGGTTTCCCATACCCAGTTGGGTTTCCGGAACCCGGCTGGTTTTTGGGGACCCTGTTGTTTTTTGGGGACTCGGTTGGTTTTTGGGGACCCGGTTGGTTTTTGGGGACCCGGCGCACGCCACCGGCTCGCATCCACTTCCCCCCCCTCCCCGGCCGGTGACGGATCCGCCGCCCCCTCGCCCGCCCCCCTCCCCACCTTGATGTCCTCGATCTTGACATCCAGCGCAGCCTCGGGCTCGGCCGCCTGTGCCCAGCCGTCGCCTTCTTCCTCCTCCTCCTCCTCCTCCTCCTCCTCCTCCTCCTGGGCGCTGTCGAAGATCAGCTCGAAGAACACGAGCTTCTCCGAGATGGTGCTGAACGAGTTGTCGAAGCAAAGTTTGTAGTCGCCGGGTTCGGTGGGCTCCACGCTGCGGGGAGAGGGGGGGGAGCGGGTTGGGCGTGGTCGGGCGTGGCTGGGCGTGGCAGGGAGAGGGGCGTGGCAGGGAGAGGGGCGTGGCCAGACTCACGTGTGGGCCCCGTCCGAGCGCCGGGCCTCGCTGACCAGCAGCCGCCCCGAGGGACTCTCCAGGGAGAAGTCGACGTCCAGCCCGGCCCCACCGATCACCTGCCGGAACCAGGAACCCCCAGTGCCGGGGACCCCCCTCCCAGTGCGGGGACCCCCCCTCCCAGTGCGGGGACCCCCCCTCCCAGTGCCGGGGACCCCCCTCCCAGTGCCGGGGACCCCTCCTGTCCCAGTGCTGGGGACCCCCCTCCCAGTGCGGGGACCCCCCTCCCAGTGCCGGGGACCCCCCTCCCAGTGCCGGGGACCCCTCCTGTCCCAGTGCTGGGGACCCCCCTCCCAGTGCCGGGGACCCCCCTCCCAGTGCTGGGGACCCCCCTCCCAGTGCCGGGGACCCCTCCTGTCCCAGTGCTGGGGACCCCCCTCCCAGTGCGGGGACCCCCCTCCCAGTGCCGGGGACCCCCCTCCCAGTGCTGGGGACCCCCCTCCCAGTGCCGGGGACCCCTCCTGTCCCAGTGCTGGGGACCCCCCTCCCAGTGCCGGGGACCCCCCTCCCAGTGCTGGGGACCCCCCTCCCAGTGCCGGGGACCCCTCCTGTCCCAGTGCTGGGGACCCCCCTCCCAGTGCGGGGACCCCCCTCCCAGTGCCGGGGACCCCCCTCCCAGTGCTGGGGACCCCCCCTCCCAGTGCCGGGGACCCCTCCTGTCCCAGTGCCGGGGACCCCCCTCCCAGTGCCGGGGACCCCCCCTCCCAGTGCCGGGGATCCCTCCTGTCCCAGTGCCGGGGATCCCTCCCGTCCCAGTGCTGGGGACCCCCCTCCCAATACTGGGGACCCTCCCCTCCCAATACTGGGGACCCCTCTCTTCCAGTGTCAGGGATCCCCCTCCCAGAACCAGGGACTCCCCCCACTCCCGGTATGGGGGACCCCACCCTCTCTCCCGGTACTGGGAACCTCCCCCCTCCCTCCCAGCTCTCCCAGTATGGGGGACACACTCCCTCTCCCGGTACCGGGGACCCCCCGCCTCCCGATACGAGGACGACCCCCCTCCCAGCACCGGGGGTCCCCTCCCAGTAAAATGACCTCCTCCCAGTACCATGACCCTCACCCATTACCGGGGACCCCCTCGCCCCAGCTCCTCCCCGGGCCCCACCCCCCCCAACACCCGGCAACGGGCCCGGTACCGGCTCCCCCCACCCCAACCCCCCCCTTCCAGTGCTCCCCAGTACAGCACCGGTACCAGCACCCCCGTTCCCGGCGCATCCCCCCGGTACCTGGTACTCGGCCTCCAGGGACGCGTTCCCGGGCGCGCCCTGGTAGAAGCACTCCCGGCGCCCGGCGGGCAGCACGAACGTCACCTCGGCGTCGGGCGGCGGCGAAGCGGCGGCGGCGGCCCCGGCCCCGAGCGCCAACAGCCACAGGAACGGCGCCGCCATTGCCGCCGCGCGGCCCCTTTAAGGCAGGCGCGGCCCCTTTAAGGCGGGCCCCGCCCCTCCGCCGCGCCGCGACAGGGCCCCGCGCGGGGGGGTGGCCGCGGCGAGCGCCTGAGGCGGGAACGGCCAGGCGGGGGCTTCAGGCAGCGCCGCCGCCCCGTTGCCCGGGGTCCTGGTGGGCGCCGCGTCGCCCCGCCTCCCCCCTCGGAATCCTCCACGCTGATTGGCTGAACTAGCTCGGCGCCTCGCGTTATCACTTCTCATTGGCTGAACCGGGCCAGGGCCCGCCCCTCGCAGCGTCTCGCCTCAGCCCCTGAGGGGAGCAGGACTCCCACAATGCACCGCGGCGGGGCCTGGATTTGGGGGGTCCCGGGGCAGCTCTGGGGGGGTTACGGGGCACATTTACGTGGTTAGGTGCAGCTTTGAGTGGCCCTGGGGCAGATCTGGGAGGTCCCAGGGCAAATTTGGGTTACTAGGGGCAGATTTGGGGCATTCTGGGGCAGTTCTAGTTGATCAGTAGATTTGGGGAGCCCTGGGGCATATCTAGATGGTTGGGTACAGGTTCGAGCGGCCGTGGGGCAGATTTGGGAGGCCCCAGGGCAAATTTGGGTGATTGGGTGCAGATCTGGAAGGCCCTGTGGGGGTTTTGAGGGCCCCTTTGGGGGGGTCTGGGTCTGATTTAGGTGGTTAGGGGCAGATTTGGGCCAGTTAAATGAGATTAGGGGCAGATTTGGGGTATCCTGGGGCAGTTCTAGTTGATCAGCAGCAGATTTGGGGAGCCCTGGGGCACATCTAGGTGGTTAGGTGCAGTTTTGGGCGATCCTGGGCCACTTTTTGGTGGGTGCTGGTGCAGATTGGAGGGGCCCTGGGGCAGATTTGGGAGGTCCCAGGGCAGATTTGGGTGGTTAGGGGCAGATTTGGCGTGTCCTGGAGCAGTTCTAGCTGATCAGCAGCAGATTTGAGGGGCCCTGGGGCAGACTTGGGAGGTCCCGGGGCAAATTTGGGTGGTTGGGTGCAGATCTGGAAGGCCCTGAGTGAGGTTTGAGGCCCCTGGGGCAGATTTGGGCTGTTTTGGGGCAGTTTGAGGGGCCGGCGTGCAGTCTGTGAGCAATGTTGGGGTGCAGGGCTGCTCCTTGGCCAGGGCACAGGCTCAATCCCCTGGAAAAATCGGGGTGCTGGGCCACAGCCCCCCTCCTGCCGACGCTGTCCAGCCCCCGGTCCCACTCCCTCAGGATCGGTGGCTCTGGGAGCCACGGTAGCCCTTCCAATCCCTCCAAGGGTCTGCATGAGGGTCCCGCCGCCTCGTCTTGCCCCGTTTGTGCCTTTTTTGCGCTGCGAGAACGGGGGATTGCACCCCAAGAAATCACGTCCCGCATTGGTGGAGCCCGTTTTGCGCAGAGCCGAGCTGGCGTCACTGGTTAATGGGTAGAAAAAGCCTTTTTTTGTGCAATGAGGAGGGGGGGAAAGAGAAACAACGAAACAAGCAACCCTGATCTTTACTGAGGGATTCTGTCATTTCCTTCCTGGGTGATGAAACTTCATCTTGAGCAAAATCCCTTTTTTTTTTTTTTTTTTTTTTTGCAGTGCTGAGCTGTGCTGCAGGGTCTCCCCAGCCTGGATCTGCGCCCTCAAGGAGGAGGAGGAGGAAGATGAGGCCGGAGTTGTTTCTCCTCATGGCAGGTACGTTTTCTTCGTTGGGGTTGGGCAAGCCGGCGCCCGTGGCGTGCCGGTGGGATCCAGTTTGCTGCTCCCCGTCCCGCAGGAGCCGTGGCAGCGCCGAGCCTCTCCCTGCCGCCCCTCGGGCTCCTCTCCCAGCTGGACGGGGGTTCCCCCAAAATCACCTGCATCGCCCCGCGGAGCTACACCGGCGGCACCTTCGAGCTCTTCGCGGCAGGCGCCAGCGTCCCGGCGCTCAGCGTCGTCGCCGAGCCGAGCCAGCACCTGGTCGAATTCAGCCTGGATGAGACCGTCCCGGCCTCCCAGTGCTACCGGTGCCGGTACCGGAACTTCAACGGCAGCGCCTGGCAGCTGTCGGAATTCAGTGTGGCCATCGTGGTGAACGGTGTGGTGGGAAGAGGGGGTGTTTTGTGGGGAGGAGGGGGGGCCGCTCCCCTGGTCATGCCGCTGACCCCAAACCCGGCGCATTTCTCCCCAGATTCGGGTGACGCTGGGTGTCATCCCGCCTCCGCCGCCCCGACTGCCCGGCCTCTGCCCACCTTCGCCACGCTGCAGCAAGGTACCAGCCCCGCGGCGTCACCGGTGGCTCCTTCCCGGTGACCCCCGTGGCCGCGCCGGGGGTGTCCCCATGGGTGACACTCCCCCCCCCCCCCCCTCCGTTCCAGATCCCTCCTGGCTTCTCCCAGTTGCCATCGGCACGGCTGGCCTGGTGCTGGTGCTGGTGGTGGTGGCGGTGGCCTGGCGAGGTGCGTGGGTCCCTGTTCGGGGGGGGTGGGGGGGTCACTGGCAGCAGGAGAAGGGGGGGGATGTGTGTATGGGGGTGTCATGATTTGGGGGGCACCGGCTTTAAGGCATCCGCTGGGTCCCTCCCCGGTGTCACCGCGCCGCGGCTGAGCCCGGCTGCGCTTCCACCCGTCTGTTTTCTCTCACCAGTCAAGGCCAAGAGGCAACAGGCAAAGAGGTGAGCGCGGCTAAACCCCCACCCTGGCACCCCCAGAATCCCCCTGGCACCCCCAGAACCGCCCCCGCCCCCCCCCAGAACCCCTCGTCCCCCTGGGCCGAGCCGTGGTGTCAGGCTCCCCCCGCCTGTGGCTGTGTTTTTTTTTCAGGCAGCAAGCGTCTTGCTGGACGGAAACGCGGTACCCCACCACCGGTACGACCCACACCCTCCCCGTACCGCAACGGTGCCGCTTCCCCCAGCCCCCCCAAAACATCCCTGTCCCCCCCTTTTTTTTTTGTCTTTTTCTCCACAGAGCTTTCTTATGAGAACTACGCCTACACCATCGGCCTGGTGAGTGGGGGGCCGGGTGTTTTTTTGGGGGGGGGCTGCCGGCGCGGTTCTGCTGCCTCACGACCCCCCCGCCCCATCCTGTTTCCTTCAAGAACAGGCAGCCGGGATCCCCCAGCACGTCCCCGGTGTCCCCCCCCGCAGCACCCCACTTCAGCACCTTTAGGTCCTCGGCGTGAGCCGCGGCGGTGCCGGCTCTGCGCCGGCTTCTTGCCCGCCACACCCCTGCTCTTCCACCTCCTCCTCCTCCTCCTCCTCGCGCCGTCGGGCCCGGGGATTCCCGGCGCCCCAAATCGCGGGGGCTGTGCCGGGGTGTCCCCCCGGCTCCGGTGACAATAAAGGTGTTTGTTGCCGGGTGCTGGTGCGGGCCGTGGGTGCCGTGTCCCCCTGCGCGGTGCCCGGGGACGTGCCGGGAGCCCCTGCCCTGCCCAGTTCCCGGTTGCCGGTGGCAGTTCCCAGTCCCCGGTGCCCTTTGCCCATTCCCGGTCCCAGTCCTGTTCCCCGATCCCAATCCGTGTCCCAATCTCGATACCAATTATTACCCTGATCCTCGTCCTGATCTTGATCCCTATTCCCATCCTGGTCCCGATCCCAATTCCGTTCCCAATCCTATTCCCATTCCCTATCCCAATCCCGTTCTGTATCCCAATCCCTGTCTCAATTCTCTTCCCGTTCCTGATTCCTTTCCCTGTCCCAATTGCTGTTTCAATCCCAATCCCTATTCCCTATCTCTGTCCAGGTCCCATTCCCTGTCCCAGTCCCTGTCACAACGCTGTTCCCTGTCCTGATCCTGATCCCTGTTCCCCATCCCCGTCCAAATCCTGTTCCCTGTCCTGATCCTGATCCCTGTTCCCTATCCTTGTCCCGTTCCCGATCCCAATCTGGACCCCATTCCCGGTCCCAATCTGGATCCCGGGCCTGGTCCCATTCTTGATTCCATTTCTGATCCCGATCCCATTCCTGATCTCAATCTCGATCCCATTCCCGATCCCATTCCTGATCCCAATCTCAATCCCATTCCCATTCCCGATCCCATTTCCAATCTGGATCCCATTCCCAATCCCATTCCCAATCCCAATCTGGATCCCAGTTGTTCCATTCTCAATTCAGTTTCTGATCCTGATCTCGATCCCATTCCTGATTCCATTCTTGATTCAGATCCCATTCCAGATCCCGATCCCATTCCCAATCAGGATCCCAATCCCGATTCCAATCTGGATTCCATTTCCAATCCGGATCCCACGCCCGATCCCAATCTGGATCCCATTCCCAATCCCATTCCCGATCCCAATCTGGATCCCAGTCGTTCCATTCTCAATTCCATTTCTGATCCTGATCCCATTCCCAATCCTGATCTCGATCCCATTCCTCATTCCATTCTTGATCCAGATCCCATTCCAGATCCCGATCCTGATCCCATTCCCGATCCCATTCCCAATCAGGATCCCAATCCAGATCCCGATCCCAATCCCAATTCCACTCTGGATCCCGTTTCCAATCCAGATCCCACGCCCGATCCCAGTTTGGATCCCATTCCCGACCCCAATCTGGATCCCAGTCGCGGTCCCATTCTCGATCCCATTCCGGATCCCATTCCCAGTCAGGATCCCGATCCCAATCCCGATTCCAATCTGGATCCCATTTCCAATCCGGATCCCCCGCCCGATCCCAATTTGGATCCCATTCCTGATCCCAGTCGCGGTCCCATTCTCGATTCCATTTCTGATCCTGATCCCATTCCCGATCCCGATCCCATTCCGGATCCCAGTCCTGATCCCATTCCCAGTCAGGATCCCGATCCCAATCCCGATTCCAATCTGGATCCCATTTCCAATCCGGATCCCCCGCCCCATCCTATTCCCGATCCCGATCCGGCTCCCATTCCCAATCCGGCTCCCGCTCCCGATCCGGATCCCGCTCCCGATCCGGCTCCCATTCCCAATCCGGCTCCCGCTCCCGATCCGGCTCCCATTCCCGATCCGGATCCCGCTCCCGATCCGGATCGCGCTCCCGTTCCCTTTTCCCCGCGGCGGGGCCGCCGAGCCGCCAGGGGCCGCCCTCGCGCGCGGGCGGCGCTCCGCTCCCCCCCCCCCCCCGCCCCGGTGGGCGTGTCCGGGCGGGGCGGGGCGTGCCCGGCGGGCGCGGGCGGGGGCGGGGGGGGGCGCGGCGGCGGCTCCAAGATGGCCGCGGTGTCGGTGTTCCCCGGCGTGCGGCTCCTCACCATCGGGGACGCCAACGGCGAGATCCAGCGGCACCAGGAGCAGCAGCCGCTGCGCCTCGAGGTCCGCACCGGCCCCGACAGCGCCGGCCTGGCGCTCTACGGCCGTGAGTGCGGGCGGGGGGCCGGGGGGGCCGGCCGGGAGGGGCTGCAGGTGGCGGGGGGGGGGGGGGGGGGGGGAATGGGGGGGTGGGAGCGGGGGGCTGGGGGGCGAGAGCGGGGTTAGGGGATGGGAACGGGGCTGGGGGCTCGGGGGGGTTTGGGGGGGTGGGAACGGGGGTGCGGGGAATATGGGGGGCTCGGCAGGGGCTGGGGGGGTGGGAACGGGGGCTGGGGGCCTGGAAGGGGGTGTGGGGGGACATGGGGGGCTCGGCAAGGGCTGGGGGGCGAGAGCGGGGTTAGGGGATAGGAACGGGGGCTGGGGGGCTCAGGAAGGTTTGGGGGGGTGGGAGCGGGGGGCTGGGGGGCGAGAGCGGGGTTAGGGGATGGGAACGGGGGCTGGGGGGGCTCAGAAGGGTTTGGGGGGGTGGGAACGGGGGCTGAGGGGTGCTGGGGGGCTCAGGAAGGTTTGGGGGGGTGGGAATGGGGGCTGGGGGGCTGGAAGGGGGTGCGGGGAATATGGGGGGCTCGGCAGGGGCTGGGGGGTGGGAACGGGGGCTGGGGGGCGAGAGCGGGGTTTGGGGATAGGAACGGGGGCTGGGGGGTGCTGGGGGGCTCAGGAAGGTTTGGGGGGGGTGGGAATGGGGGCTGGGGGGGCTGGAAGGGGGTGTGGGGGGGTATGGGGGGCTCGGCAGGAGCTGGGGGGGTGGGAACGGGGGCTGGGGGGCTGCGGGGGGGGGACGTGGGAAATTTGAGGCTCAGGAGGGTTTAGGGGGGTAAGAACGGGGCTGGAGAGGGGGTGTGGGGAGCTGGGGGGCTCAGGAGGGTTCAGGGGATAGGAAAGGGGGCTGGGTGGGCGTGGAGGGACATGGGGGGCTGGAGGGGAGTGGGGGGGGGCAGGAACGGGGGCTGGGGGGAGGTGGGGGCCTATGGGGGGGTGTGGGAAATGGGGGGCTCAGGAGGGTTTGGGGGAGTAGGAAGGAGGGGCTGGGGGGGCTGCAGGAAGCTGGAAGGGGGGTGTGGGGGGAAGTGGGGGGCTCAGGAGAGTTTGGGGGGATAGGAAGGGGGGCGGGGGGGCTGCAGGGTGTTGGAAGGGGGGGGTGTAGGGAAATGGGGGGATCAGGAGAGTTTGGGGGGTGGGGGTTTCTGGGGATAGGTAGGGGGCCTGAGAATGGGGGGAGCTGCAAGGGGGGGTGTGAGCAGGTACGGGGGGCTCAGGAGGGTTTGGGGGTACAAGGGCTTGGGGGGATAGAAGGGGGGGCTGGGGGTGGAGGGCTTAAATGGGGGAGCTGGGGGGCTGGAGGGGGGTGTGGGGAGCTGGGGGGGCTCAGGAGGGTTTGGGGGGGGGGGCTGGAAGGGGCTGTGGTGGGGGACCGGGCCTGTGGGGCTTAGATGGGGGAGGATGGGGTTTGGGGGGGTGCTGGGTGAATTTGGGGGTTCAAGGTCTGGGGGGCCAGAATGGAGGGGGGGGGAGGGGCTGGGAGTGGGGGGCTTAGATGGGGGGGGGGGGTCGGTGGAGCCCGGGGGTGCTGAGGGTGGGGGCTCGGGGGGCCAGTGGGTCCATGTTGTTGTTGTTGGGGGGGGGGGGCTGGGCAGGGGCTCCCCCATCCCACCGGCCGCTTGCCAGAGGCTGGGAAAGTTGATTCCCAGCCCCCCTTCCCCTTCCCCCCTCCCCCCCCCCCCCCCTCCGCAATTTGCCCAAAATAGCCCAAATTTGGTGACCTCCCAGTGCTGCCGCCCGGGGGGGGGCTTGCTCCGGCGGCCGTTAGCGCCGGGCACCGTTACCGACCCGACGGGGGCTGCGTTTCCCGGCCGGCGGGCGCGGTGTCGGAGCTGAGTTTTCTTTGTCTCCGTGCAAGAAACGCGTTTTTTTTTCCTTTTTTTTTTTTTTTTTTTTTGGGGGTGTTTTTTTTTTTTTTTGTTTGTTTTATTTTGTATTTTTTTTTCTTCCATTCCCCCCCCCCCCCCATTTCCCAAATCCAGCAGCTCTTTGTGCTCAGGGAATACGCCGCTGCCGGAGCCTCCCCGGCCGTTCCCCTCCGCTTCCCGGCGGAGCCGTCGGCTTCGGGGCCGGGGAGGGAGGGGGGGTGGCAATAACACCCCGACCCGCTCCCGTGACATTAATTGATAAGCACAAGTAATTAACATGCGGCGCAGCGGCCCTGCCGCTGGGACGGGGGGAAACTGAGGCACGGGGGGGTGGGGGGGGCTCAGCCCGGGTTTCCTCGCCGGCGGCCGGAGCTCAGCGCTGCCCTCGCCGAGAGCGAGGCGTCGCGGGGAGCCCGCGGTTATTCCGCGTTTCGGCACCGGCGCTTCCCCATCCTTGTGTCCAGTTTTTTTTTTTTTTCTCTCTTTTTTTTTTTTTTTTTTTTTTTTTCCAGGCATTTACCAGAAAACCCTTTGTGTGGGGCCAGGGCCGGGGGTCTGGCGCTGCCCTTTCAGCGCCGGGGCGGCCGCCGGGGGCACATCTGCCGGTGCTTTTTGAAGGGTCACAAAGAGCCGGGAGGCCCGGGCCGACAACCTGATTAACGCGCCTGCCGCAAATTTGCATTTCAGGGCTTTGCCCGGCGCTGCCGGGGTCTCCCATGGGGCTGGGAGACCCCCCCCCCCCCCAGCTCATTTCCCTCTCGCCACCCCAAATTAATCAGGCAACTTAACGAAGCGCGTGGCCGGCGTGCCGGGAGCCTGGCCGGTGTGGCGAAAGGGACCGGCAAGGAGATTTATTTATATATATATGTATTTTTGTTTTTTTGGTGGTGGTGGGGGGAATAAAAAAAACCCCCCCAGGTTTTGCAGCAGCGGGTCGTTTGGGTTTTTGGCGGCGTGAGAGCGGCGGCGCTGGCTGGAGGTGCTAATTAGCGCTCCCCGGCTTCAAAGCGGCTAACGAGGGAGCGCCGGGAGGCCGCGGCGGGTGCCGGCAGCGCCCGCGGTGGGGAGGTTGGGGGTGGCCGGGGCAGCTCCCAGCTCCTCCCAGCCTCACTGGGAGCTGTGCAAGGGGAGGGGGGGGGCACTGTGATGGTTAATTAGGCTAATTAGGTGTG